CCCCCCCCCCCCCCCCCCCCCCCCTCTCCTTGTTCTTCTCCCCTACTTCACGCTGAACCTCAGAACCCATCCTTCAACGGCTATTCTGGCTATCGAGAGTATATATGACTTTCAATACTCGTTTAGGTATCTACTAACCATCTCATGAACCCAAACAGACTATGGCCCAAGGAAGCGGAAGACTAGAAGTCTCGCCTTCCAATTAGTCGTAGCGGCAGTGGCACGTCAGTTTCACCACTGCTCACCCTCGCACCTTCGCGTCCATCGCTGTTATCGATACCATCGTCATCAACATCATCAGCATCCTCGATGAAGAGTACAAGGAGTACAGTAATCACAAACGTCCCGAGTAGGATGTCCAAAGAGGCAAGACTAGAAAGCTTGGAAGCAGTCTTGGTGTCTTTGAAGTATTAAAGTACCGAGCTGGATTGGTATCTGGGCGTTACGGTTGTCTTTTTATTTATTTTTTTTCTTGGGTCTTGCCCCTTCTTTCGGTTGTGGTTGTCATATTCGTAAACGAGAAAAGAGAGAGACACAGTAACGCGGTAATAGGAACGAAAAGGTGGATGTATGTGTTGGACCTGTACATTTTAGAGGATTAGCAACAACCAAGCGGGCGAAGCGAGCAGTGAACGTTTAGTTGTGCTTTTGTATTTTGGTGGCATCTGCAGTTTCTGTCTGGAGTTTAGCATTGGGACAAGAGGTTGTATATATACCCATACAAACTGACCGCGTTGCTTTAACAAAAATAAGTCGGTCACTCAAAGAGTATGACGAACGAGGCCGTGTAGTATATCAAGCGCATTGTTGCGTGTTTGTTTGACGAGATCATTTGGTGAAAGTGATGAGGCTGATGAAGTCGGCAGGACGGGTGCAAATGAAGAGGCGTGTCCACGGGAAACATGGGCACACCAGAGACGAGCGACCCAATATGAAAGCGTGAGCATTTGCTAGAGATATCGTTTTTTTCTAACACATATCCTTCCTTTCACCCATCACCATCCTTTGTCCTAAACCACTTGCTTGTCTTCGTGTATTCAGCATCAGTTTGGTTTTTGTCCATACACAAACGGTACGAGAAGAAGAGTACCAAAACAAAAGCTGCCCACATTTTAAGACATGTGCTGATAAAAACTTAAAATAAAGGCCATCAAGGCATATCTTTTCCCACCAAAAACACATACATAATCACCCCCTAAATTTCCATTCTCAAAAAAGTTAACGAACCGCAGCAAAAAGGTGTTATGGTGAGACCATTTAAGTTAACGCCGATCGCCATGCAGACTCATAAGGTTTAAGAATCAGAATCGAAAAAAAAAAAAAAAAAAAAAAAAAAAAATTCAAGTGAGATGAGCTGAAAAAAAAGTTGAGAAACTGAAATGCTATGCCGCTTTATTCATCCATCTTAGATCATTTCACTATGATGCAACCCCGTCTTAAAGTCGCTCTGGCCCGGTTGCTGCTGAGCAGCAGCAGCAGCAGCAGCACGCATATGGAAGTTCATGCTTTGCGACATGCCGGGCATGGGCACGCTTTCATACGGAGCAGGAATCATCGGAGCAGCCTGGTTGTCCCTCATTGCTCCTCTGCTCCTGCTAGCCGAGCGCATGCGCTCAGTCACGCGCGAGATGCGACCGCCGATGCTGTGGTCGATGCTGCTGCGGCCACGGGCGTGACCGTTTCGCGAGGAGGGTGCCGGAGGAGAGAGGATGGGCACCACGATTTCCTTGGGGATAGGGGCCGTGTTGACGGGTGTGTATGAAGTGGATGGTAGCAGCATAGGCGGAGGGGGGGGCTGTTGCTGCGGTTGCTGAGGTGGTTGTTGTGGTTGGTCGTCGTCCATGACGATCTCAATCATCCCCGAGCTTCCTCCGTAAACCACTGGCTTAGCACCGGCCAGATGAGGAAGCGGGGCAGGCGGTGGTGGTGGAGGAGCAGCGAGATGCTGAAGTTCTCTGAGCATGGGCGGCGCCGGGGGCGGAGGGGGAGGGGGAGGGATGGGGCCGTCGTTTCGGCCAGCATCATGAGATGGCCTGCGACCCATTATGGGCTTCGGCTCTCCACCTACACTGGGCTGTTGAGCGTGGAAGCCCCTCAGGTTACTCAAGGCGCCTGCTTGAGGCGGCACAAGGTCTTGAGGAGGAGCAGACATGGACCTCTGAATGAATGGTCGGTTGAATGCCGATGTAGGCGGAGTGTAGACGGTCGATGGAAGCAACATTGCAGGACTCTTCATCGGCGGTTCGACCTCTTGTTGCTTGAGTTCAACCTGCCTCTGTGACACTTTATCCGGCGAGGCCTGGTTAGAGCTTGCGGCCGAGGTCTGTTGAAAGTTGGCGGGGATAGCGGGAACGGGCACATTGTTCCTGCTGGCGTCCGAACCTAGAACTAAGCGCATAGCTTTCGGAGTGGCAGGAAGGCCAATCGATGGCCCACGATTGGCATACATGCTCCTTCCAGCGCCCTGAGAGCTAGGATCAACGCTTGCACTGCGCGCTGGCATATCTTCTCTCCTAGGAGGGACAAAGACGGTGCTTGGCAGCTCCATGACGGTGTCCAGCCGGGCAGGAGTAAGCTCATCAGGATGTAGGATCGGGGGCGCGGACGGTCTTCGTGCGAGCGACCTCCGACGTTCTTCAAGCTCACGCTGTGCCTGCTCTTTCTTCAGCTGTCTTTCGTTCATCATGACTTTCAAGTCGCCTGAACTGTCCGTAACAAGCTGCATCGGCGCAGGCGTGGGCATCGGGACAGGGATACGCTGTCTGCGATCTGTTTGGTGGCTCTCCGACCTCTTGTCCGACCTCTGGCGACTTGTAGACCTCTCCCGACCACCCCAGTCATGACCACGACCGGAGATCGGCGATGTGATGCTTTCTCCCCTTCCATTTTTGCTTACACTCCGGTTGTGCCTCTGCCGGAATTTCTCGCGGTCTTCCAACGCCCTTCTGTAATCCTCCTCATCCTCCGAGCCATAAAAGTGCGCAGCCTGACCTGACATGGGCACTGGGGAGGATGGCGATCTCTGCCTGGAGCCTTCGCGGCTGGCTTCACGGCCGCGAAGGTCGAGTGCTGGGGGCTTGCGTCTCTCGGAACTGCGCGCGCGGCTTGAGCTGCGGCCATTCCTACTGGCACCACGGCTTGCCATTCGCACCCTGGATGTTTCACGGCGGGTATTGACCTTCTTCGCCACGCTGGGCTGGTCTTGCTCGTCTGAGAAGTCAATAAGACGCCCTTTACCATGCCCAAGTTGCTCAAGGTCTTCCCGGGGAGTAGCAAGGTTGATCAAGTCTTCGGGAGACATGGGAACTGGAGACTTTGGAGATCTCTTCCCACCCTTGGGCGTGTAACCCCTGGAAGAGCCTCTGCCGCGGTCTCTGGACAAGTCCCCGTCGTCCCTGCGTGAGCGGCTGGTTTCGCGGCCGTTGCCATGACCATCTCTGCTGGTTCCTCTGGCGTTTCTACTACTTCCAGCAGCCTCAAGACTATGGTAATACTTGTCCATACTCTTGCCTGGGACATGATTCCTGTAGCCTCTAACACTAGATGTTGCAGATGCAGATGTCGCAGAGCTGGCCACTGAACCTGACCCCTTGCGCCTAGATGGCCAGTGATACTGTGCGTTGGAGATAGAATTTCCTGACTGTTCAGGGGAGCTCGGTTCATCATGGCGCGTGTCGTTGTGCACAGGAAGAGATAGGTCGAGGCCTTCTGGGATGCGGCTGCGAGACCCATTCCTTCTTTGTCTGCCTTCCATCAGCGCCGCTACGGCGGCTGGTGAGGGAGAAGGAGGCGGCGGTGCCTTGGCGTCCTTGAAGACACGAGGGCTGGCAGTTTGTGCTCTGGGCAAGTCGTACCCCGGTGTTCTGCTATCGGAAACCTCAAAAGACATTATATTCGCATAAGGATCGCCGACCGGCTTGCTGATTGCGGTCAAAAGCTCGCGATTATCCTGGGTCGCCTCTCCGATGGATGGAAGACGATGTCGACCAAAACCACCATTTGGCGGGCGCGCAGAGGAGGGTGTATTGAATTGGCTTCGGTTGTTCCGTAAGACGGCGGTAGTAGGGTCAGCTCCGCCAGGTGAAAGAGCTGACTGAACAATTGGAGTGGCTCCTGCCGCAATAGGAGTTCTACCATCATCGTGCCCAGAGAAGAATTTGGACTTGTTATCTCCGAAGGTGGTAATAAGCTTGAGGGCCGAATTCTTTGCAACACTCCGCTGGGGGCCATGGTTCCTGGCAGGGGGTGAGAGTGGAGGACTGGTGACCTCGTTGACCGTCGCTGAGATGCTTCCGAAGGTAATCTGCTGGGCTGAAGGAGACGTCCATGGTTCTGTGGATTCATGGCCGGTGCAGGCGAAACATCGGATGGCGAGCTGCTGTTGGCCATGTTGTACAGCCCATTCTCCCCACTTCCTCACGATCTGGACTTGACGCTCCCACGTCGATGGGAAAAAGAGGCAAGTCAAGATCAGGGCCTCCATGTACTTTTTGTGAGAGACGTAGATCTCAATCGCATCGTTGTGGTCACCCAATCCGATCATGATTGTTGCCGCCGCGTGAACATCACCGCTTTCCAACAACCGCTGCACGTAGGCTCGCCCAAGTTTGTGCTGTGATGCTTGTCCTCCAATGCCACTGAGAGCCAAAAGCATCCAATCAGACGATGTCATGTTCTCTGATCCCATAGCCATGATATCCGTTGTGATGTCTCCCAACCATTTCGCAAGCAAAATCCGATTCGTAGACCCCAGAGGATGCCGAGACATTTCATCCCGAATCAGGTCTTCGATGTCCTTGTTCCATCCGAATATTGTGCTCAGCATCTGACGCCGCAGATCATCGTTTGTAAGTCGGACACCATCGTTTATTTGTGGCGTCTTGTAGGGCATATCTTGCAGACGGCTTTTGGTAAACTTAAACAGGTCAACAACTTTCGCGTCATCGGGACTGCGAGGCACCTCATGGCGCAACCTCGATGGCCTTCTCAAACGATAGTTTGAACTGCCCATAGAGACGGAGCTCGTGGTCGACAAAGACTCCCTGTCTCGCCTGTACCGATGATCGTGCCCGGGCAAACCAGATCTTAGTGAAGACCCTGCAGAGATGTATGTGTTTTCCGTCATTCCACGAGAGACCGCGGATGGGGCATATTGATTTCGTCCCTGCGTGTTCGAGTTGGATGACGTGATGGAGACACTGGATCGACTTCGGCTTGAGGTAGGGCTCGTTGGGCGATATCGGTCGGGCTCAGACTGCCCTTGAACAAGCCTAGCTAACGGTGACATGTGATCATCACTCTCAGATAGATCAGCGTGAATCGCAATTGGCACTCCGTGATCGGCATTGTGATGCATCACAGTCTGGCTTTTTTCTTGTTCTTCGAGCGAGATAGGCGGCGAAGGAGGTAACATGTTAGCAGGATGTTGAACATTGTTGACCATCATGGCCGGCGCATTAAGATCGAACTGCTGGACCGAGTTGTTTGCCCCAAGAGTGAAGAGAGTCGCCCCGGGCCCATAAACAGCCAACCCTCTGGCATGTTCCAAGGTTGGGATTGTATCGTAAGTAACATGTTTTGTCCTTACATCCCATGATATTGTTTCACTATTATTCGAGTGTGTCAGCGATCGCACAAAGAGCAGCAGGTACCGTAAAGCAGCGAACTGACCCTTCTGAATATTGAATAATACGACCGTTTTTAGACCAGCCCATCCAATTCGGTCCTGTGAGGTAGTTTTCTGTCCTTTTCAAAATTCTTACCACCTTTGCCGGGTCATCGGCATTGTACTGTTTGGAAACGCTCCATACACGGAGATCGCCATCGTGTGTTTGTACGGCCAACATGTCCGACTTCTGCCGTGAAGACGAGGCATGCCATGCCAGTGTTACGATGGGGGAAGGCCCGCGCGAGGTAGTAAGATTGTGAAGGATGGTGAACCTAGGCTGAAGTGTTGCGATCAAGAGCGAGCCGTTTTGATATCTGCAGCGAGACAGTCAGTCTCGGCACCTTCTTAAGGATACCCTAGAAACCTTGTGCTTACCCAATCGCAAAGGTCCTGCAATCTGCTGCCGGGGCAATAGCTGTGATGGCGATTTGATCAATGGTTCTTGCGGAAATGTGCTCAGACGTAGTGGGTTCAAAAAGGATCACATTGCCTTGAATGTTGCCTGTTCTCGCCTAGTTAGCCATGTTTATACGATAGATGAAGCAAAGATATACCCACCAAACGCAACATTGCCATTGTGCATCCAGGCAGCGCAGGTGAGATTTTCATACGAAGCGAACCTTGCGACCTCATCTCCGGTCATGAGGTCCCATACAATCGCAGTCTGCCCGGCATCATAACTGACCACCAACCTCCCTGTGCCCATCTCACTGAGATTGTCGACTGCTAATAGCTGCACCTCCTCGGTATGGCGGGCGAATCTCCTCTCTATCGACAGGCTGTCATGGTGGCAGCATACAATCGAACTGCCCTGGGCGTAGAGGAACATGGAGGCCGTGGCCGCACACGGCTCGAAGTACCGGGGAACAGCGCTCGGAGTCGGAGCCATGGCGAAGTCTTGCATGTGGGCAGTCCGTCCCTTGGATGAGGCTGGAATCGAGCCGGTACGGCTTCTCGAGATGTGTCCGGGGACCGACATGGTGACAAGATATGTGGGGAGGAGTTATTATGTCCTTTGGGTCGAAGATCTTGAGACCAAAATGTTAGTCGGGAGACTGCATGGGCGGCAGGCCGTATGTACCTTTTCGGTACAGGCATGAAATGGCCAACCCGGAACTCTCAAGGTGCAGACCGGGAATGGACGGCGTACAAGTGTAGAACATACCGAGCGGTAGGGAGCTATCACCCTCCGGGACTTCTTAACGAACCAGGACGCGTGGCGAGGCTACACAATCCGAACCCTAGTCATCACATGGGACACTATGCTGTCTGTTCCCGCCCAAGCTGTTCCTCCACGTTCAGCACGCCGAGAGTACGGAGCTCGAGGCTATATTTTGCGGCATACACGGACTTGTTTCGTTGGAGTCGGTGGCGGTTACTGTGGCAATCGTGTTTCGTCTGGGTAAGGCTATATGTTGAGAGGGGTTTCTTCCTTTGCTAAGGTGCAGCGAGCGTCGGTTGGAAGGGGAAAGTCGAAGGCGAGTGGGAACAGAAGATCGGGAAATGGTAGGGTTGCACGGGAACGGCTCTGGAAACAAGATACACGGCGTAGGAGACGCAGGAGGCGTGTATGGCGAAAGGTTGTAGTTCTGTTTAGATGAGGACGAGGGGGGGAGGGTAGCGGTAAGAGGACCCGTCTTCGAGCTTACTCGCCTAAGGTCATGGAGGAGAGAAAGAATCGAGTGGGATGATGGTCCAAGGAAGCCCCAGCTGGATGCTGTGCCAGGCGCTTGTTGTGCTGCGAGATGATGCTCTTGTCTGCTGATCCCAAACAGCAAACAGCTCGATGCGCGGAGCAGAGGCTTGGTTTGGCAGCGGGTAAGGAGGAAGAAAAGCAGAAAGGAAAAAAGGTGACGATTATGCCTGTGACTTGCACCAACGTGAGTGGTGGTGTGTGGCAGCAACAAGTTCGGGCCAACCTGACGAGCGCTTAGCACAGAGTCCCAGGACGCGGATGCGAGCTGTCACTGGACAGTGCGTGTCATGAGAAAGCACCCCTAAGATGAACCCTTGCCCAGTGAGGAGCTGACTCCAGGTTTCCAACCTACCTAGTAGCTAGCTCCTAGGCTTGCTGCTGCTACGTTGGCGTGTCCGTCCTCATCGTGGAGGACGTGAAATCCTGTGTATGGCGGCCTTATCCTGCTAGTCGTTTTCTGCCCTCTGACCTCTGTCCCCTGTATCCATGCCGTTTCGAGATTTCAGAGGGCGAATCTGAAAGCGCATGCGGACCGGCTCGTCTTGCCATTGCCATCTTATCTTCTCGCTGGCCTGCCCGTCTGGCCTTCTGGCTGTCCTGGATGGAAAAGCTGGAAACACTAGCGAGGCGGCACTCACCCACTTCTAGCAACTGGAGAAAATCTGGTTAGGTCGCAACAGGGGCACGACGCGAGAGGGCACTGTGTAAACTAACGAGCCCCCCTGTCAACAATACCTTGAGGAACATCAACGTGGAACTGTCAGTGGGCGAGATGATATTGATCTGGGCATCGATGTGTGTCAATGGTAGCATGTGCAATGGTTCAAATTTCCGCCATATTGAGCAGCCCTCTGCTTCTGGCGAGTCCGCTTTCGACGTACTACTGTTCCCATTCAGAATTTTGATGTTTGCCACGATGAAGTCCTTGATGGCTTGCCCTTGTCCACTGACGTCGTCGTCGTGATTCCGCGGTCTCGACACTCGGAGTCTGGGGAGGGTCTGGAGCGGTTAGCTAAGGTAGCCGAACTGGGGACCCGAGCCTCTGGAGAATCGCCTGTCGTTACAGGTATAGTGTAGATGGGACATGTGGGTAAGTATAAGGCATCGCCCAACAGTGGCATGGTGTACTGTGTCGGGGTCCAAAGAGAGGTTGTACAACCACTCGGTGTACCGGGGAGAGTACTGCACGGATGGATCTGTTTGGTTCAAGGCACAGAACACACATACACACACACACACATAGCGAGCGGTACCTTGCGTGTTGCTTACTGCTTTGGTGCTGTTCATGTTGTTTCTGCTGCCGTGTGCTGTGAAGAAGCATGAAAAACCACTGTCAAGCTGGCCAGTCGAGGGTTGCTTTGCAGCAGCGGGATCTGCACCTCAGCTGTGGTATCCAGGGCATCTCCCGGACCCTTGTATCTTCAGTGATCCTATCGTCCGTCGCGTGGGTGGCCATCCATTCCATTCTCTAGGGCATGTCGTCGGGGACATGAGGATGTGGAGTCAAGTATCGAGTTCAAAGCTGCTCCACTTCGTGCACCAGAGGAAGCGCCACCGGTATACCCAAGCAGCAATAATGGCAATTGTTAGTTTGTAATACAGCAATGTGCCCTGTAAATGCCAGTCCCTATAAATGCAAAGACCCAGTAAATGCCAGGAATTTCTGTGCCCGAATTATTTTAGTATGGCATAGCCTGCTAACTGCTAAATGCAAGCCGCCCGGCCGGCCCGCCATATAAATTTGCAACTAACAAGGTAGCTAACAGGGGGTTACGGCACCCCTACTACCTACATTGGGCTATCAGAACCCCTTACCAGAGCTGTCGCTGGCTGTCACAGGCCCCTAGTACATGTACTAGTAAATGCAAGGACCCAGTAAATGCAAGGAAAATGACCTGCCCGAGTGGGTTGTATTTACTAGGCATATTGCTGTAAAGGTTGGCCGAGTCACAGTATCAATTGGCTTGGACTTGCTGACAGAAGAGAGCCGACTCGAAGAGAGAGAAAAAGTGCAAAGTCGGCGTCTGGTTGGCCAGCAAAAAGACAGCGATGAAAAGTGGGGAAGTAGGTCCAGGGGCGGAAGGCTTGAGGAAGGCACAAGCAGTTAAGCGCCCTCGCGGTTGATTGGCAAGCATGTCCCTGCACAGACACACCAATCAGCTCCGTCATCACCTTCCCCTCGCCTTCCTGACCTGGACCACCGACATCCTTCAATCCAGCATCCACTTCATCATCCGCATTGATCTTATCGTCCCTCCATCCGCTATCGCCCGCCATCATTCCTTCCTCGCTGCCTTTCATTTTTTGAATGCTGTCAGGATTTTATAGCGTCATTTTTTCCGTTCCATGTCCTCCTTCCTCAAAGACAATCGACCATAGCAACCGGCCAGTTACAACCCACATCTCAGCTCACAACAATACATCGGCTAAAACTGCTGGCCGATGCTTCGATTCTTCCTTGCATTGGCCGGCACGGCTGGAACCGTGGAACATCAAATGCCAAGACAGATGCAGAAAATCAGGAACCCATGTACGACATTCTCCAACACCACACAAGTCCCCATCTCGCCCGAACTCGGGGTGATGGATTATATCACATTATGTACGAAGAGCGAGCCGGCATGGCTATCTACCTAGGGAATAAGGATCATAGGTAATTTTGTTCATCACGGACTACTCGAGCAAGTTGTTCGTCGTGTGCTGGGAAAGAAACCCCTCCCATTTCTTGAGAAACACAATAGGCGGCCGCTGCTCATATCCGAAATCCGAACAAGTCTCCAACAAGCGAGGATTTCAAATAGGCGCCGATTGCCCAGGATTCACCCTCACTTCACCTATTCTCTGTACTGTGCAAATCGGCATTTTCTTGGTACACATCCACTCACACACACTACATTCAAGCTCTCACTACACTACATGATAGACGCCCATGTACCCTGGACATATAATGAGCTCACGATATACCCAATACTGCAAAACCTGGACCGGTTGAGCGGTATCTGTGCGGCATCACTCATGGGAATGTGATCGGGTCCCCTACACACTCGACACTAGAGTCATCACTTTGAAGAGGAGGGCAGTGGAGGGTTCGGCTGCAGATGTGAAACCCCCGTCCGTGAACTTCATTGTGTTTGTGATGAAGCTGATGGGACTGCTTCTACCTATCAACCCATCTTCACCAGCACCCTCGAATGCAGGTCCGGTATGAAGGCTGATGTTGTTGCACTTTAACCGAGTACTATAGATTAAACCACCATTTCTCTACGCCACGGACCCCGACAGTCTTACTGCAACCCTGATCCCGCCAAAGCATCAATGCCGAAGAGGTGGCCACGATCTTAAAAGGCAGGACAGTCGCATTCCAGATATCCTCGATGCCGCCGAACCGAATCTGCCTGGAATTACCCTGTCAAGGGCATGTGCGGAATCCACTTGGCCCTTTTTTTCCCACGTTTCCTTGAAGGTGTTGTCTCCAAAGCCCATAATCGAAGTTCAACCCCAAGGAGATACGCCTATGTTGCCGATCCATCGCGAGGGGCATATCGTCTAGAACGAGCCGATTGATTAACAATGGGCTGGATGAGGTTCGCTGGCTCCCATAGCCTGTCAGGCTTTTGTTTGACAGGTGTCCGGTCCTGCCTGACACGGGGCAGCAACTCGACGAAAACACTGACCTTGGAGGGTTTATGATTTTGCAGCTTTGCTCAGGCTACGCAGACAGGATGATGAACTCCCCGCTCCGGTTCCTGACTTGAAAGTGGGATTGGGAGACCAGCCATTGCCTCGCACTACTCCGGTGCCGCACACGATGCACCCACGATTAAGTATGTCACGGCCGCATTTCGTGACCTGGCATGCGAGGTTACCTACTACTCTCTGCTTGACGGGTTACCACATATCCGCAAGCAGTAACGGCGATAACTGCACTTCCGGCCCCAGCTCATTGCTCTCCGTCCAATCAAGTGCAGCTCAAAAAAAGGTAGCTATCGGTATGCCCCTCTGCAAGTGATCAAAGCATCCGTAACGCCCCCGCGCCCGTACCTCGTTCAACCTGTACACGGCAGGATCTTTAGCAGTCCGTGCCTGACATGGAGTGAACGTTCCCCTTCGTATGGATTGCTGTCGTCCTACACAAGAAGGAGGACGAGACATGCAGCACAGAAACCAAGCAACGAACGCTGCGTGGCATTCGAACCTTGACCTGAGGCTACCACGCCAGCTCCCTTTGCCCTGTATTGAGTAAGAGTTGTCCGTGAGACCATGGGACAAGAAGTGAAGCGGCAACACCAAGAACTGTAAGACACGAGAGTGATCGTCCGAGACATGGAAGAAGCGTGGGGTTATGGCGATGCTGTCTTGGAGGTGTTGAAAGAGAGAGATGCAGAGATGGAGCGATGTCTGCGGACGGAATAAACCGTCACGTCAGCTCATCATAGAGTGGAAGAAGCAAAGAAGAGTATAACGGCCCTAGTATGGCATGCGGCGTTACTTATTTGGAGGCCAAGGACACAAACTACACCCATCTTCCTTGCTTCTCTTCAGTTCTTTGCCCTCAATCAGTTGACTGGATTTACCTAGTTAATCGCTCCTTCGACGAAACTGTAGTTCGAGCGACATGCATTGAAGGTGTCCGAGCGCAGGAAGGTCCTTTTTCCCCTGAATCATTTCACGTATCTCGTCTGTACCTTCCTTCCCGTCGTGTAATCTTGTGTGCTCCCGCCCGCAAATGCACAACCTACGTACATTGAAGAGAACGCGGGCTGCAGGAGCACATGAGGTAAGCAAAGCTCGAAGCTGCCTGCCGTAACTCTACTCGTCAAGCTTCCATCAAGTACTTTCCCCTTCCATATTCCATTTGTCTTCTACCTAGGTACCTCTATCCATTGGACACGAAATGCGTCCAGATGCCTGCCATCTACACCCGCCCTATCTCTACTTTCTCAAATACCCAAGTTATCTAGACAGTGGCGTTGCTGTTCGTACAATGAAGCAGTGCCCATGGCGATATTGAAGAGACGCAACCACACAATGTTTCCGTTGCATGTGTTCAAGAAAGTTACGCCTGCTCCTTTGTCTTTTTTCTTCCGTGTGGGCATGACCACGAAATAGAAAGCAAGTGATCGCCATGTGTTGCCTCTAAAGCTCGTTTCCCTTGCCATTAATATTCTCCCCTCTGCGCTCAGGACACCAGCCTCAGCCGGAGAGGTGAAGATACAGTGAGTGTAATGCTTTGCTGAGCCCCGATCAGCTTTCGGCTTGCGGAGCTGAACCCTCGCCTAATCTTACTTGGAATCCTTCCGTTATGTGATCCATCACTATCACTCAATATTCACAATGAGCCCGTTACCAGCCGGCTGGAATGGCTGTGCCGAGTCACCAAGCGCAGATTATGTGGTAGCGAGCAGAACTATGTCAGTGACCACGTTATTTTGGTACCTAGCTGGAGGTTTGACAATGACTGACAACTTGGGCATCAGAAATGACGACACTGATCGACTACTGCGAGTTTGAGATAGAAAGCATCCCGGTGAAGAACGTCTATTTGAATCCTCGGGTCATTCGACTATTCTTGACACTCTACGCTACAGAGACAGATACAGACCCGTCTCGCCTCGTCTCACCGCAGGTCAGCTCAGTGGCAACATTGAAAAAGCCACCCCTAAGCTCGCATTAGATCGCCGGTCGGACTCGCTATGGTGAACCGTGCCATGATCGACCCAGCCGCCAGCGTGGCGGGCATACCCGCAAGGGATCTGATACAGGTCCGGGGTACGGTACGGATCGGGTCAATGATAATCAATATATCTATTCTAGGATAATACTGGTTGCGGGATACCTGTCAATCTGTGCAGGCTTCACAGTGTATCCCGCGCACACCTTGTCGTTACTGATAAGGATGCACATGTTGCGTGAGTTATATGTATACCGAACTATTCGCCAGGACGACACGAGACACGCACTATGGATGCTTCAAGACATCATCATCCTCGACCACGTTGGTCGGCTGCTGGCGCCGGGCGGTAAAGTATGAATCCAGTCGGTGCTTCCGCTTTTCCATTGCCTCGGTCAGTTTGGTGTCTGTCACTTGGTGTCTGACATCTAATTGCCATAACGGGCACCAAAGAATGTCTAGGCGAAGAATTTTCAAGCCTTCCTCACCTATGTTTCGAAGCTCGATCCTCGCCTTCAGTCACAAGGGCACGTTTTCTGCTGGCTGACGTTGCGGTGAAAGACATAGAGTAAGAGGAGTCACACTTGGCTGTACGCCGAGCTAGAGGTATTGTTTTATAGTGGCCTAGATAGGCCATGACAATCGATTAGTACATTGTTTGATCGAGTCTCGATTGTTAATCTAATATACCGGCTTCGACCGACGTCTTCGAGCTAGAGTCTTCGTTTTTTTAAAAAAAAAAAATTTAAAATTTTTTTTTTTTTTTTTTTTTTTTTTTTTTTTTTTTTTTTTTGAATATTTCCACGACTTCGTGACTAACTTTTGCATGTTGTACAAACTTTGAGTCTCACTGGTCGACTGCAAAGAACTAGCCGAACGATTCAAAGAGGAAACAGCATCCATGGGGCTATAAATCCTCTTAGCGAAGATAAGAAATCAACTCCAGTGACCCGTCACTCCAGTTGCACTGGGTTTGTATTCACCAAGCAGATAACCAAGAACCATTCTTATCGACGTTTAGCACACCATTTGGAGCCTAGGGGGATGTCAGTTCAAAAGTAGTCCGCTCATGTACTATCAACGTTGAATTTCTCGGAAGACTCAAAAGGTCAAGTGACTGGTCACTAACGCGGGCGCTTGTGCAGCCAGTGGCCTCTATCACAACCCACACCCACATCACATCATGACGGGCATGGGAACAACCGCATACTTTAGCCCGATATCGGGTCCACTTTGTTTTCTTCAGTGCTTTGAGATTCTCTCCGAGATAGGCTTCTTAGCCCAACAGGTGGAAGCCCAACCAGATGAGGTGAAGTTGAGGGGGGCAAAGAGACGACCGTTTTCTGGTATTTACCCTGCCAACAGAGCAGCAAGTACACCACCAGGGAGACTGTGACAAAAAAACGGAGATGCGAGGACGTGGAGTCTGTCCTTAAAAGTGTTCCTAATGTAATGTAGTGTATCTGGGGCATCGCGGAATCTCTCCGACCAGATCTGATCAAGCTGACCAAGCCAACCAAGCCAATGAAAGGAGAAACATGGCTCAGGGTCCCAATGGTTCCTGAAAATCTTTTCTCTCTCGTATTATAGTCTAGACTATCAATCGGGTGGTCACAATCACGAACCTCCACGCCGGATCACGAAGTCAGGCATCAACGCCAAAGCCTTAATATCTTGGGTGCAACGAGGGCGGAATGGATGAATGGTTCTAGGCCCTTGGCTCGAGTTCTGGAGCCAGGCTGGACTTGCGGCCAGATACTATGGTAGATCCAAGATAGGCGAGCTTGCGGAAATTTCTCGTTTCGCAAAACTCTAGCGGAACTTACGCGCTTGAGATTTCCGGAACGGGGGGACTGGAATTTTGTCCGCGGCGACCATTTTGATCTCCGTCCCCGCCTCTCCTGGCTCCTAGCTCCTCATTCAGGATTCAGGGTCTCCTTTCCATGTGTACACTAGAGGTAGGTAGGGTATGCTAAAATAGCCTAGGTAAAGCATGTACTCCACCTGCATCGCCATCGCCGAGAGACTTTCGCAGTGTGAACGTGGCTTGGGAGAAGGGTCTCTTATCCCCGGGAGGACTTTCGAGTAGAGCAGAAAATACAAGTGGTGTTAAGTACCACAAACGCCATCTGGATCCAGACGGGCAGGTATGTAGAAGAACGCAACGGGGAGGGAAGGTAGATCTAAAGAAAAAAGGTTCAGTTATGCAACCCTCAAAAAAGTGGACGACAACAGGGACCGATCTACAAACCAACCATCATATCGGGCTCACGATGCCTTACTCAACGCTTACTCAACCCAAACCCTAATCTAACTAAAATGCCCCGTCCAAGTCCCTTCCGCTGCCCGCATATTGCCCGTTATCCATTTCCTCGCTGCCCACATCTGCCGATGCTGATCCGGGGATTCATCACTATCACTGCCGTCCGTCCGCTCGTCAAAGCGTGCAAGGGTACCAGTCTCCTGGTAAACGTTCAAACGTCCAAGCGCACGAGCGCGGCGTCCTTCCGTCTGTTTTGAAAATCCACTTGTACTTGAAAATTCACCATTTGGTTGTCGATCACCATCAAACAATACCTATGAAGTAGCCCCTCCAAAAAAAAGTTGTTCGAGCCCCTTACCCGCTGCGCCTTACCAGATTCTGCAAACAAGTGCGGAATTCAGGTTTGAATGATGTAAGCGGGCCTTTGGCGGGGAAAGGATAAATCGCAGGGTTAGGCTGGTGACCTGAGATCGGTCATGTGTGGGAGTTATATGTACACTATAGTAGCAGAAGGATCGGGTGTAGCTGGATTGGCTGCGTTGGCAGTATGCTACTGCTACGGTCATGATGATGGTGGTGATAGTGATGCCAAATTCTTTGCTTTCACGTATTGTGAGCATTGGAAGATTTGAGATATTTGAGACGAAGAGGATTGACTTACACTCCTCTTGTATACTACCTTAAAAGAGGTTGTGGAGACTGGACTTGGCAGAGAAACATCGACTTTACCGTGTGAATGCCAATGTCCAGGCATGTTAGTAGGTAGACAGTGTAGAGAGAGAATAAAAAAAAAGGCAGTTGTCGAATTTGTTATAACCTCTGTGAATGAACGCGACGGCAATGTTCATATACCTAGCTAGGCAGGATTTCCGTGGGATGGCGAAAATTTGGACTTGGGAGATCTGTCACATGGATGTGCTGGGAAGCTGGCGAGGTTATTGGATGATGGTTTGTCCTGTCGAACTTGCTCTTTCTCTTAGCATGAGGCCCTCATAATCGCGTTGTCGCTGTGAGAAAGGAATGGTGCCTTGATACTTACCTACTGACTGGGGAATGAGGTCCTTGCTTGCGGTCAGAAGGAGTTTGTATGGCCTTCACTGACTGGGCATCTTCCTTTGATGTTGTAAGTCCCCAAAGGAGAGAAGATGAGAGACATGTCGATAGCAAAGAGTGAAGCAGGCACCATGTCACAAGCAAGCAATGAAGAGATCAGATAATTATGTTGATGACGATGATCGAAGTTTCAATTATAGAAGCAACCACTGACGTAGTATTGACTTCAAATGCTCAGTAAACTAACTCCTCAAGGCAAATGATGCCTTTCCAAATTCCAATAGGGTATCAATATCATGAGAAAAACTGCCTGAAAATGCTTAGGAAAAACAAAAACAAATGGGGGTATCAATTGCAACCGCGCTTAGAACAATGGAAAACAGAAAGGAAACTCCGAAAAATGCTAAAAGAAACTTTTTGTTGCCCCAACCCGATGCGCCCTGATTGTGTGTAGTATGTGTGTTCCATCCGAAGTCGTATCAAAGTAATTATAAGAAAAGCTAAGAGCTCAAGACAATGGAGAGGCGAAGTGAAACCCGCTAGGGGTTGGATGTTTGATGAAAGAAAAATGGATGTCGGGGCCGAGTATCACAAACTCAGTCCGACCCGGCTAGACCTGCCCGTCCTCTTCTTTGTTTGAAGCAGCCAGCGGCAAGGCGCGGCGTGCTGTAAAACGTGGGAGCAGACATTGTGGCGTTGCACAGGAGAAAGGACGTGGGCCAGGAGCGGGAAATGAGATCGATGCATCCATCGATCAATTATTTGGACCATGCCTTGGCAAGTCCAGTCCAGCTGCGACTTTCTCAAGTGCGAAGGCTTTTCGTGTTTGTGTCCTTTGGCAGGTCTTTTTGACGGGTTTCGACTGGGTTGTGGTTGGTCGGGAGGAATGATTGGAAGGCCTTGATTGTTGAGTTCGCGGGGTATTGCTGTGTTTGTTGAACCCCCCAGTCATGTGTGACTCGGTGCGCGGGCGACTGTTCGTCCTCTCCCATTGAACCGTCACACTTGATCACGGTGTCTCCACACAGGGGTCCCCCAGTCCCGTGAGTCGGTCCGGAGGTGGAAATGTGCCGCGGCATTTTTCAGATGGGAAAAATGGAGTGGCATTCGGAGCCAGCCAAGTGACGTCGCGTGGCCGGTCAATTGGATGGGATGAATGGGATTGCTTTGAGGATGTTGATCAACTGCAGAGATGATCCCTATAGCCGCGCGCACAGGGCACCTTTGACGGTTTTTGCCGGAGCCGGGGCACAAGCCGGTGGGTGATCCGCGCATCCGCATTGGAGGATGCAAAGCAGGATTTTGGGCCCGTTACACACACGAACCCTCGGTGTGGGGGGGGAGGGGGGAAAGGCCGTTTTCCCGTGGGGGTTTGACGATGATGATGGTGGTGTTGATGGAAAAAAAAATGCCGACGATGCTGATGCTGATGCTGGTGGTTGCAGAAGAAGAAAATGAAAGCGGTCAAAAAGCCAGAAACGGGGTACTGTAAGAGTTATGGTTAGCACGGATGCATGCCAAATGGAGGCATTGCCAAACCAGTGTAAGCTTACTCAATAAAAATGAGGTTGCAATCGCCACGGCACAGGCTGCATCGTGCATCCGATATCGTGTTGCCCTTTTTACTCAGACTCGGCGATGGGAGTCATGGCGCTGAGCTTGCTCTTGGTGCTCTTCTTGGAAGAAGCCTTGCCGGCGCTGCGTTGACGCTTGGCCTGGGCCTTGCGCCTCTCCTTCTCCCTGACGAGCAAGCTGACCATCTCGCGCTGGTAGGCGGCCTGCTCACGCTGCATCTCAAGGATCTCGGCCTCGGTCATGAAGGGCGCCTTGGGAGGAGAGTGCATGGGCGAGCTGCCGCTGCTGGAAACACTGCGCACATCGTCGTCGAAAACATCGCCCATCAAGTCCTCATCGGAAAGGAAGGAAGTCGGGCGCTCGTAGTCAGACTCGGATTCGCAGAGCGAGGTGCGGCGGGGCCACGAGGGGAAAGCACACGAGGCATCGGCTCCGGAAGAAGAGATGTTGATCGGGGAAATGTCCATCGGCCTCGAGATGCTGGAGTACGAGCTGCCGTAGGAAGAGGATCGGCTGGAAGAAGCCGAAGAGCTGTAAGAACCATATGAAGAGTACATGGTTGCTGTTGTTGTTGTTGTTGTTGGTGTATGTGTGATGGTTGTTGTTTTGAAAATAGTAGTAGTCGGTGGTCCAGGTGGTGGAGGCTGGTTGCTAATCAGGCGATGATGAAATGTCTTGATGATGTCGATATCGGATTGTTGTCGATACAAGTTGGGCTGAAGGTAACCATGAGATGGGGATGTGAGTTTCTTATATCTCGTGGACTCTGGGAAGCAAAAACAAGAAGCTGGGGAACAAGGGCAGGGGCGGGCAGAGATATGTGTCAAGGGTACGTCCCAGGAAACAGGATGTCGTGGGTACCGTGGGGCAGGTGAATTTCGTGCCCATCTCTCGCTTTCCTGGCCCTTTTCTCCTCCCTGGCCGAACACAGAGAAAACGGAAGGACGACAGGGGGTGTGCCCAACAAGCGGAACAACAACAACAACAACAACGGCACCCATGCCCTGTCAACTTGAGTTCCACACTTCGCAAGGTAGGTACGTACAGCACCTTACCTTGCTTTTGGTACCTACGGATGGATACCCCCACCGCTGGCAACCCACACCCAGGCCGCAATAACGGAAACGGGGCCTGTAACCGCGACAGGAGCAAGACAGGGCGCGCGGAATTACGGGTAATCACTTAACGGAAGCAGACAATACATAGATTGGGTTACCAGTCACCAGTCAAAAAGGATTTGCCTAGACCGGGTACTTTTCCGTGTAATGCCAGAAGAAAAGAGTCATTGCGTGCCCTTGGTTCGTTTCGCGCCTCCGCTTCCTCTTTTGGGTGTTCTTGCGATACCAGCGGTTTGCCTGGGCACCAAGCGCTGCCCTGCGTATCTCTCGACCAGCTGCCCTCTTTGGCTGGACCGCCGCGGGGCATGACCTGGGGCATCAACAAGCACCAGCCTATCTCGGGCTGTTATCAGGGCGACCGACGGCGCCCTAAGTCGCAAACCGCTATCAAAGGCCCAGCCCCGGCGGGGGGTAGACAGCCATGACGGCCAAAGAAAACGACGGGATGAGTCTGGGCGCTATGGCGCCAAACAACAAGACGGGACAAACGACAGTGACGGGACCGACCAAAGTGACAACTGACCAGTCCATCACCGGCCTGGACGTTCAATCTCAAAAGAAGCGAGAAATGCGAATGCGAATGTGAATGTGAATGTGAATGTGGATGTGACGGCCATTTCTCGAATTTCCATGCCCCGGATGGGCATCCGACCGTGTTAGTCGTGTAAATCATAGTGCTTACCTACCGCCCGGACCGGTTCACTTCCGTGTTCGATGAAGTTTGCTCGGGAGACGGACACCATGCACGCTGCTCTCGTCGCTGAGTCGCTACAACTTGCGGTGTCCTCTGTCAGTGCTTCTGACCGCCTTTGCCCTCGAGCAACAACGCATCCCGATACGCCCGTTTCACCATGATTACTTTGGTGTGTGTCCGGCCGGTGCCATTCAGCTTACAACGTCCCCGAATAGCTGCACCGTTGGTCATGGTGATACCGGTGGTACATTGCAGTCATTGCTAGTCACCGTCGGTGGGCATTAGTCGACACACCATTGCTGCTCAGCCAACTGAAGCCTTTGGATGGCCCACGAACCCAAAACCATGAGAGCTAGCGAGCGAGTCAAGAGGTGCGCCCCGTGGTGGCTGAGCACAAGAGACACCACCTGCACTAGATTACGGGCTCACTCAGAGCTTTCGGTTCCACGGCCATTTATTCACTCATTCAATCATTTATTCTCTCATTCGCAATGGACATGACAGGAGACAGCTCCGAACGTCCATACGGTTCCGCAGCCCTTGGGCGCCCTAGATCCCCCTCTTCTTTCCGCCGTCTTTAATCAAGAGATGCTCTTCCTTATGGGTCATGGAAGCCCTGTCAGTTAGTGTCGCGCACCCGGGCTCATGGGAATGAAGGGATGACAGGATGAATAGCATGTACACTATAGAACGGAATGTACCGTTTGCGAACCAGTCGGTGAACCGTTTGCTCCCCCGAGGAAGCGACCAGGGCTGGCTGCCACGGGCACGGACGGAGACGAACGGGGACGACGGGGAAGAAGAAGAAGAAGAAGAAGAAGAAGAGAGAGGTCAAGGAAGACCCTATCTGGCATCAATGGGAACAAGGCCCGCGGCACCATGGCCCCCATTCCGGACTCCAGGGTGGTTAAAAGTCCAGACGGTCAGGGTTCCGCGTCCAGGCCCCCGTCCATCCCATAAAATCACCATTCCTTTTTTGCCGTAGTCGAGGCGCCCCAAAATCCTTTCCCCGGGTCTTGTGTCCCGAGATAACCCCGGCTTGAATTGGCTGTCAGTGCCTGTCAGTTGCAAGAACCGTTCTACATGTTAACCCCCTTAAAACCTCCGTTTTCTTGGTGCGTCTCGCGACTCGCGACTCACCAGCGGACCGGTAGGTGGGAGGTAGCATTCACGTTGCTTCAACTTCAACAACATTTGTTCCCCCCTCCCCCACCTCAAAAAACAAAATAAAATAAATAAATGAATAACACGCACCCTCACCGCCTGAAATGAGATACGTAGGGGAAAAGGGTGTGGACTTGTTGGCGGCCAGAAAAGCAACTTTCGCCCACACCAAATGCACACTTCCACACTACACCGTTTCTATTTTCAAGCTTGTTTGTATACCGTTGCTGTTGTCTAGCACCGCGGTTTCGCGGTATGAAAAAGCAAGCAAGCCAAATATAAGGCACGGCTGTCAACTTGTCAAAACGGCAGTCAAGCAGCAAGCCACAACAAGAAGCAAGCAAAACGACCCCTAAACATTTGTTAGTATTACACAAACAAGAAAAGGTTTGTCTTGCTTGTTTGGGGGGCTATGTCATTCCCAATTTGGGATTTTGCCCTTGCTTCTCCAGCACTCCAGGCTTCTGTCGCGTCACTTCCGGTTGGCTGTATCTTGGGATCAATCTGATAGCGTAGATATATCGATAATGATCAGAGTTCCGGGAACGGATGCCCTTTCTTTTTTACTCGCGACAAACCCTTCCCCTTGCGCACGCACATCGACAAAGAGATTCCATACGCGGCAAATAGTGTGACTTTAGTGCTTGTATGTAAAGGGACGGAGGAAACGGTTGCTGTTGTTGTTCGGTTGGTAGCCCTGCTGGTGTTGGTCGTTTGGTTGGTTGGCCTCTGGTCCTATCAATGATACGAATGAAGCCATCGTGACCACCTCACCTCTACCGGCCTAGCATCCAAACCCGCCAAAACAGAGCGAGAGAGAAAGAAAAAAAAAAGAGAAAGAAGGAAAGAGAACAAAAACTCATCAGGTCAGGGTCTCATCTCAACAATGTACGTATGCACACACACCGTTTTAGAACTTGGTGCGTCGCTGCGCGCATCGCGCGCCCTAGTGAGGATGGCGAGGAATAGCTGGCTGGTTTCGCTAGTATACTGTGTAGGCTCCTGTCTGCGGTTCCATGATTACACACAGATGCACGACCAGCGCAAGACCCGTTTTTGGGGCAGTCTTCAGCGTGCGCGGTGCGGTGTGCGCTTCCTTCTTGCTCACGATATCTGATATCTGACACTGGCACCTTCGTTTCAAACTGCATAGAGGTAGTACTACCTCTATCTAACCTGAATACTGAGCTGGCCCTAGCCCCCAAGAAGGTGAGGGAAGCATCAGGCCGGAGTGCCGCTGACGCTCGGCGGTGCGAATGATAACTGGCCTCCCCAACAGATCGAATAACCCAATGCACCCTCGCCGTATCATCCCGTCTGCACTTCTAGCAAATATCACAAAATGCGCCGCCGCGCCGCTATGATAGTTGTTTTTTCTCACCTGCTGAGCCGAAAAAAAAAAGAGAGTAATGAGGTTATCGGCGAAACCTCAAACTTGCTACCACACTAGTTTACCCCGTACTACTGTAGCTATGGTCGTCTTGCAGCTTGTTGTCCGAGTTTCAAAAATTTTTTGACTCCATCTCTGGGCATCATCGCATACCCACGAACCAGGTAATCCTGTCCGCACTGGTGGACGGAGGACACAGGACGGGAGAAGTGGAAAACTGGAGTTCAAGCAAGAGCCTGAGTGATCGATGCAACTGAAACTGATGCAAAGCATTGCGCGCATCGATCTCCTTAGTGCCCGCGCCCGTTTTGGAATCCGATACGATTTAAATGGGGTCCCGCGGTTGGCGGTTCAAGTAGGTTTTGCGGAGGTTGTGGAGGTTGGGGAAGAAGGGAAGGGTGGTGACGTTCGATCGATGCCAAGAAAATGGGGACAGCACACACCACATTTGGGCCCGTCAGCAGTCAGCCCAAGGACCATCCCGCCCGCCCGTAAAAACGGCTCTGCTGAGACAGGAATGAGGCCGGTCCGGAGCTAAGAAAGCGGGGGTCGGGAGGCATCGGAGGAGGTTGAGAAGACGCCACGAACAATTGAACGGCATCGCTGATGCACGAACGGTGATCAGAACATGAACCCTCCTTCCTCCTGTCCGCGCTTGGGTCAAGGGAGATTCGCGAAAGTTGCGACGTCATGCCGACTGCCTGTACCCTAGGTACTTACCTACTCCCCTTCTCCGCGGAGGACGTGGACCCCCCGCCCGGCAACGGCTCCCCGTTGTTTTGAACAGCACGCACTCCCGGTCCTGTTCTTCGAAACGACGAATCTGGCAATCACGTCTCGGATAGCCATGCGTTGTTTGGTTGCCATGGCACCTGTCAATCTTCTCCTTGTTCTCCTTGCTTGCTTGTCATTCCCAAGATCTCCTTCCTTTCTTATTGCGTAGCATTTAATCTTGGGTAAGTTTGGGGGTCTTCCGCGACGACGACCTGATAACACAAGAAGTCGTATCGAATCTCCCCTTGTTCTGGCTTTGCTGTGGCCGACATGTGAAGGAGGCCTGTTGGCAAAAGAGCTGGAGACAGAACATTGGAAAGCCGTTGAAGAGGAAAGCATTGAGAATGCCGTTGAGATGATGGAAGAAGCTTCCGGAGCAGGGGGCCGCCAGGGGTAGGAAGTCACCATGTACACGATGACAACGACGACGACAATGGTGAAGATAACTGAAAGGGGATCATTCCATTCGTGTCGCCGATGGGCTACCGCCATTACGGTTCCCGTAGCTCGCGAGCTGAAACGGAGCAGCCTCACAACCTCAAGAAGAGTGGATAGATAAGTACTAAGTACACCGTGGTACCTACCTACAGTAGGTAGGGAACCAATAACTACATTCCCACCGCGATTCGGTAATGAGCATAGAGTTCTCGAGATGGACGGATGCTCTTTGATGATAACTACAAAGCTCTTCACTAACCTGAAACACCTCGTTTATACCACCAAATGGCCTCGAGAGTGTCCGCTACAAGTCGCGTTGATGTTGTTACCAGCCCCAGGATAGCTTCAGTTCTTGGGATCCACCCGCTATCGCGCCCACTTATAGCCGATACTGTAGGTCGTAAACCACCACGAAACATCATCATCACCTGCGGCAAACCCTATCTCTGTAGAGGTACCATCAATAGGTAGCCAACACTTTGCACCAAAAGTGCACACAAGACCTTTGCCACAACACCACGCAATACCTCTTATACGGATCGATACGATACACCGCATCACACACCCTATACAGAGACACCAACTGACTGTTTCATAGGGCTGGTATGTCTTTGCTTTTTGACTAAGAACACCACAGGCGATCGATGCGATGCATTGCGCTACGATGTACGATGAACCATCCAACGACTACCACATCCCCACCCTCCGGCCACTTTGTTTGAGACACACAAACACATACACCTCCAACACACCTATGAACCGTAAAAGTCAAACACCATCGCTATCACCGCCATTTCCTTCTCGGCCCCGGGGCGCTGGTTTTGGGCTAGGTTTGGCGTCCGCGCGTTTCGATACCTACGATTTGAGGCGTCGCGCGGCTGGCTGTATCTCTACAGGCGGTAGGCGGGTTCGTTTCGAGACACCCGCACTGACAGCCAGCTGCAGCCACGGCAAACTCTCCTAGCAACTCCTCCGCGATAGCGGTGGATGCTGCTATGATTGCGAGATCGACGGGGCTTGCTTTTTTGTCTCAGGGGTGTCACGGTCACTGCTTGGGGGGGGGGAGGGCTGTCTCTCCCATCTCCGTTTCTGTCTTGTCTGGATGCCAAGCAGCCTGTCCGTTTTCCGCTTCCATTTCAATCTAAGTTCTGAAATGCCCGGATCCGTACATATTTCCCCGGATTGTTTTATCCCACAAACCCCCACACCATCCCATGGAAACCACATGGGTTTGTACTATGTGTGTGTTCATCCCACCATCACCACCGTCTCCGTTGGCGTTGCTGTCTAAATTTGGACCGGCCGGGTGATGTTTGTGTGTGTTAAGTATTTGGATTTGTTTGCATTACATTCCCTCCAAATTCATCCTTTATCCCCCCTAATAACACCAAGTGTGAATTTGCTATCCCTTCCTCCCCGTTACGCTGCCCGTTGGATGGATTGGATGGATGACGGACATGGGAAAGTCTGGGGTCCAAAATGCTTCACTTCCACTGGAGCACAGTCAACTCTGGGGAGATACCGGGGAGATTTTAGGATTGTAGACAACACAACCACTGAACGGCGGAACGACGGCGAGTTTTGCGGTAGTTGCCAGTCAGCCGGCCGGTTGTGTGGCCCAGAACTCTATTGCTTACTGTAGCATACATAGCATAGTGTGGAATGTGTACCTATGCAAAGCTCGTCAGCGTCTGACTGTGCCGTTGTAGATAGATATACGATACGATAGTAACGTACGTAGATGCTGGTAAAAGAATGTCACGGTGATACAGGAAGAACCAACTTGAAACATGTGTAGCCCAATGGAGTGTGTTGTTGTAGGTGTTCAAGGATGACACTTGCACAACTCTATCAGCACTGACACCATCTGGGGTGCAGTAGGCTACGATTTCCCATACATACCTACTATTCCGATCTCTCAATCTGATTGCGTGAGCCACATCCGCAATCGATTACCTACCTTTTAGGGACATCGAACTCCAAACAACATACATACGCACGCACATACACGGCCCTCGTATGAGACTATTTTATGTCGCTTTGCGGCTTCAGAGAAGGATGTATACGGTTTATCTAATTAGCCCAAAATGGGTTCAAGAGAACCAGATCTGGACTTCCAGATCTCGAGATCGTCGCCATGGTTCATCACCCCCCATCTAATCGACACAGTGATAATTGTTAGTGTATTAAGCCCACGAGAAGTGAAGCTGTAAAAAGCAACAACCACGACCGATCGAACAATAACGACATTCCGTCCTGGTCCGAGCCTGGCGGGATCTCTTAACGGCTTAGTCAGTGATCGGGAAATAAGTGTGGAGAGAGTCTCACTCCTCTTTTGTTCTTCGTCTTTAGTTACGGTATTCATAGCATGGATGTCATGATGGTTCGCGTGGTTCGTGCTAACAAATTCCCGTTCCGTCCAGTATGTACGGGGAACTGAGATTTTTGTGGGGATACAGACCTGACGGGAGCCTCTGAAGGTCCCAAGTCTTCCTCCACTCAGACGATCGGAGAGACCTCCGTCATACACTAGTCTACACTGCAAAATAGCTGCGGTAATGCCTCCAGTCCCGACGTCCAAAATAGGGGGGTTTTCTCCCACTACTACAAATGCCTCTTCTTGGGATAGCGCGGGGATGATGTGGAGGCCCCCCGTCAGTCTCACGGTGAGTGGCTTGAGATTATCTTGGTAGGACTCCTCCCAAAATCCATATCCTTCCCTTTCCACGTCTTCCGGCTCTTCCGCGAGACGGAATCAATGACCGCGGTCCTGGTTACCTATGATGGTCGCCGTCCTCGGAAGAGGGGGCAGACAGGCTCGCTTATCACGCATCCGCGTGGCTTCGGCAATGGATTGTGGTGTACCGGCAAGACATGCGGAATTTGGTTTTGTTCATCAAATAGGTGTAGCCGGCCGCCTTACCAGATCTGGGTATATAGTGCAGAATTGTGGTCATTGGGCGAAAGTCCGATGGTTGCTTAAAAAAGGTCAGTTGTATTTTATCCCACATTGGGGTCTCCCACTTGGTTACCGTTTCCCGTCGCGAGGGTTGATTTGTGTTGATGAAGGCGGGGTTCATTTTCTTCGTCGCCGTCAGGCATTACTCGGCTTCGTCCAGCAAGACCATATGGAAAGTGTAGTGTAGTAGTGTACGGGATAACGGGAGGCGTGGTCATGCGACGAACGTTATCGTTTTCAGTTCCGTGTCTTGGCTGAACCCGGAAACTAGGTGCTTGTGTGTGTTAGAACCCGCCTTTAAGGCCGTATCGAATCCGGGTCTCACCGTGGTAGTTCCCCATAGTATGGTATCCACATCCCCGTCCCGGTTCCGTTGGTTCCGCCCGCCAGTCTCGGTCCTGTTACAGACCGGTTTGCCGATTCAATGTGAAGATACAGGAGTCGGGACGGCGCTCCGACTGCAACAGTGCTTCGGGCGGATAACCGTCGACGGACGCATGCTACTGTCGGTACATTGCCTATGCGTCTGCATATGCTGTATATCGTGGATGTATGATTGATGATGTAGCGGCCGCGACGCAGGAGATGAACAACTCACGGGCGGCGCCAAGGGCAGGGCAGCCTGTCAAAATCCAGCAAGCAAGCCGTCAAAAATCATCTGAAACGTGAATCTGGTTGACGTGCAAAAGGGTGAATGACGCAACCTAAGTACCTACACACTGATTGACCGCCTTTTTCTTTTTCCATATATTTTTCCCTGCTTAATGTTATTCGCACCACCATCACCATCACCACCTTGCTTTGCTGCAACGCTGTTGGTGTTTGGCTATGGCCGAGCTTGTGCTGGTACACTACAGTAAAGTCCCCTGCTTCTACAAGGAATCCGGGCAGCCATTTTTCTTGCATTTAATGGGGATCTTGCAGAAGGGGGGGCAAGTGCACGGACCCTCTGGAAGCCGCTGCCTGTTGGAATCGCGAGCTGGTTCCTAAAAAAGTGGAGTAAGCCGCCTGGCCCAGGGGTCGAAAATGTTCTGTCCCAGCAAAAGGACACCCCTGTACCTGCAAATCCGGCTTTGAGGCCTTGCAATTTGCAGTTTGCAGCTCTAGTATAGGAAAATAATTTCGGGCTAGAGAATTTTTGCATTTATTGGGGATCTTGCAGAAGGGGGGGCTTGTAGAAGCAGGGGACTTTACTGTAGTGTACAAGTGTCGATGATTCCATTCCGCTTTTGTGATTGGGCCAAATATTAGCAAGTTGAGGATACAAACCATTTCAAGAGTGGATAAGGCTAATTGCGACGGCTATCGATCAACACAGGTGCGCAGCATCCGCGGTCCAATCAGCAATCCCACCGGTTCTTGTTCCGCCTTGAGCCCTGTCGCTCTGGTACAGTAGCAGTCAGGGCGGAACTGGAGGGGAGGGAAGCAGGGAAAGGGAAAGGAGAGAAGAAAAATCTGCACTTTGCTTCACGGCAGCATCCACCACCACATCCACCGTCAGGGCCTGTTGGGGCGTTGTTGGGCCCAGCTTCATGAAAAAGTCTGGAATTGGCGACGGATGCCCAAGGGTTTGGGTCCCGGGAGCTGCATCCGTCATCGCCGTCGCACGCATTTCCCTGGATCCACCGTCCGTTACATCGGCAAGGGCATGAGAGGAAGGGGGGGCCACAAGTCCACGAATTGGGAGCCACGGGGAGCATCGGAAGGGTCGATCCGCTGAAACAAAGTGAAAGCTTAATTTTCTTGCTCCTTGCAATGTCGCGGTGTAGCCGAGTTTGATGGACAACGCGTGGGCGTTAACGGTGAGGACGTTCGTGAACGTGTGTCGTCCGTATCTGAATGCCACAAAAGCGCACATCCCTTGACACATCCCCCCTGTGCTAATCTCGCGGTTATACCGCGTATTTTATCATCTGATACTCCTGATGAGACAGCCATCTGAAAATCCGGGGAAAACGGCCACTCACTACAGTATCCTGAGTGCTAACGGACCGTCTTCGTACATTGCCCGGACTCGGAGAAGGTTCGCAGATTGCCGTGTCGATCGTTCCGAAGCGCCGGGTTATTATCGTTTCTATTCTGGCTTATTGCCAGAGATCCTCTGTGTTTCCGGTGTTTCTCTGGTGTAAGCTGTACACTACAACACTTCAAGTTTCACATGCTGCTCCCATCGTTCACCGTTCACATACATATCTCGAACCTACTTTGCTTGAGCTCACCGTGGCGGCGACCACCGACCGTTCCCGCGACAGGGCATGGCGGTCATAACGAGCTCGACAAGACAACAAGGAACGATTGACTGAAAGAGGAAGGCATTCACAACGGACAGGCATCGGGGGACGAGGAAGAACAGGATCCCTGGTCTTCGCTTATGCCTTGGATGACGACGCTACTGTGTTGGAAGCATGGAAGGCCCGAAGAAGGGCTCCAGTTGTGCGTCTTGGTGGCTTTCTACAACTGCGGAATAGCCCCGCGACTGAGCTCCGACCTGCAACCTTGTTGCCGCGGCCACCGGCTCTGTTTCCATTTCTTCAAGAGAAGCCTCGGGGAGGGGATCAAACTTCAAACATCTCTGATGGGGCTGGCTCCCCTGCGAATATCTGCGTAATTACAGAGGACCCGAGCACATGGGAAATAGCGTTCTCGCAGACTTTTAAGCGAGCGTTGGCGAACGCTGGCGAGCTTCCTAGTTTGGCAAGGTTGGAATCATCTGCAGGAGCTGGAACGCGCTCGCCTTGCTTTTCATCAGCTGTGGCCGCCGCGGAGAGCTGAGAGAGGTCCGGGAAACCTGGGGTTGACGAGGTTCGACATCATTCGTTGGTGTTACTCGGTCCCGATGAGGTTGTCATATGTAGCGGATAAGAATGTCGCCCGACGTCTCCTGTAGGACTGCCGCAAGATTCATGCTCCATTGGCCTTGGAACCTGCCTTGACTCCGGCTGTGCAGTAGAGGCCTCTAGGCCATGTTACAGCAGGAAAGGGGAATCGAGGCAGGGCGAATGCGCTGGCGGTAAGGGAGGGCGGCCTTTGGAGCGAAATGGAAGTCGGAGGCATGCCCGGTCCGACAGACAACCCGGTTCGCAAAGGGCATGGCTCCCACAAGTGTCCGACCGAACGAAATGGCCGAGCAAGCCTGTCGGGCCTGGCAGGCACCTGAAGAGGGCCGACGACCATTGTAGTGTAGTGTACACTACCGCCGATCATCCTCTAACGTCGGATTGGTGTCCCCGGAAGCCGTAGCGCGAGTGTAGTGTAGATAGTAGCTCACGATTAGCGACAGGTCACCGCGCTCGAGATCGTTCACCTTCTCCAAAGGCACCTCACGTCGTCAGGCCAGCACACCGGACAAGGTGCCGAAAGAACAAGACGACCAGCCGGAGCGATATCCGACACTGTGATTTCGCTGTTTTTTTTTTCCTTTTTTTTTTTTTTTTTTTTTTGGACCTCGCCTAATGTTCCCCGGCCGCCGTCCAATTTCAACTGCTCAGCGGACAGACCACTCCGGGTACTCTACGCAGCGCCATGAACGTTCCAGACGCTAATCTCACGATGAGTTTATTGATAACGAGGCTGACCTGTCACTTGCAACGGTGCACAGCAAAGTGTCTATCGACAACAGAAGAAAGGAAGAACGACTCCATAATCAAACGGGTGCTCAGCTGCCAGGCCCCCGCGGGCCACTTCCGGCAAGGGAAAATCTGGGGATGAGCTGTCGCCCATCAGCGCCTCGCCCAGCACGTGGGGGCGGCCTCAAGGTCTGTGGGGGTTTTGATGATTCAGCTGCTGCTGCTTTTGGGAGCATCTCGCGACCACAGTTGGTGGGTGGGGGGGCAAAGTGGGCGCCGTCGTGATCTATCCTATCTGTGACACCATTCCCAAGCCACAATCAAGATCCTTTCCCATCCCAGCGGCCTGGTAACTTACTGGGCCATGTCGTATGCGAACTCGGACTGGACGCCTGAATTTAGGTGCCTGGGACACAATCATAGGCTCTGTATGCATCGCTTTCAGGTCGCTATCTCATTCCACTGGCAACGAGGCACTGCGAGTTGTGATGGATGGTTGGACAGACACTCAAACCTGAACTCGAGACCTGAGCGCCATTCATGACTTGGCCGGCTGACTGTGCTATGGCATGCGTTCAATGCCTGACTCATTTTGTCCTTCACGAACCTACCATTCGCCCACCTACTTGTATAAGCGGCCCTTATGAGTACGCCTTAGCCAGCTCTCATGACGGCCTCATTGGCAAACGGTGGTACCTAGAGATACACCACCTGAGTTGATTACTATCCACCGTTATCGTTAACGTCTCCCATCTCCAGACCGCATGGTACTTGCAGCGTTACCGGAGGGGTGATATCAACACCATTCGGTAACGTACCCTCGGACTCCCTCCAGTAAAACGTTGTCTCCTTTGCACGCGCCTTCTGTCCACAGAAGCCAGGCTGGTCAGAGGTAGAAACGCTGGCGATATCCACTGACCGCCAGACCTAGTACCAAAGCGCCAGCTTGAAAGCCAAGCGTTGATGCAATGCAAGTTACATGTCTTTCCTGCCCCCTTGGGCTGAGATAAGGTGCGGATAATCGTGCGGACAATCGTGAGCACATCACCTGTTGTGGACATGGAATGAATGGCTATCAACCCCAACGCAGCACGCGGGTCTACCCGAGGAACTACAGTTGAAGATACTCCGCGCGAATAAACCCATGTGGACCATCAACCATATGATTGACGGTTGCGTGCCCCCGATCTTCACACCGACGGTTTCACTACTTGTTGCCCCAAATTTCACCTAGACAGGCCGCTCCTTCCAAGTCCGGAGTCGGCGGCTCCTTAACGACGGACGCACCCCTGTCAGTCGGAAGGCGCACCGGTGAGCGAACATTCCGGACCGACACCGGCCAGTTGAACGGAACTGGCGATACCAACTGCAAGGCCTCAAACTTAATCAACGATATCAACACCGCTTCACCAAAGAGGTGCACTCTCTTACCGTGCATCAGCTTCCCGCTTGTTTACCCAGTCGCTAGCAGGCTACAGGAAGGGTTTGTTATCTACGGGTCTGCTGCCTGTCTCTTCCATTGGCAGAATGAACATTTCCTTGATTAAAAGGGACCTAATCACAACTTCCAACAACCAATCAACCAGAACGGAACTCGTCAACTCCGCTGTCGTTTTACTGGATTGAAAGATTTCGAGACCTCAGCAACGTTGTTTCCAGTATCGGCACTAGCAACTACACGACGTCGTACTCCGCACGCACTTCATACAAGATCGACAGAGGGGATCAGACTCCGGCACTTGGAAATTGCCGTTTCGCGGCCACGGTTATTCCCGCGGGTATTACAGGCGCATCAACATTGCTTTTTAGATCCTTCAATTCACTCTGGTCGAGCTTCCCTCCTTTCTGGCTCACGTCTGAACTGGCCGGGCCTCGCTGTCTTGATGGTTTGGACACTGAAAACCTGTGAAGAGTGTCACAAGCATGTCGATCTTCATCGCGTGTCAAACCCACGGGACTCTTGAGTGAGAGTCCACCCTAAGCATTTGGTCCGGTGTGTCTGCCAATACCTCAACATCTTGCTGGAAACCCACCGTCTCGCTTCTCGGCTGACCCAAGAGGAGGATTTTTGGATGAATTGCTGCAGTCTGGGTACTCGGGGGTTGCGGTTCGCTTTTGGTTTGCCAAGCTTCTTTGCCCCCTCTCCCTATAGGAGAGGGGGTGGAAAAAACCTGGGACAGTAAAATATTCATGGGACAATCAAGACAACCAGCAAAACACTAGGAAATCTATTAGTACAGGAGAAACAATAATGCATTTTAACTATGCTACTATTTATTAAAATTCTACTAAAATTCTGGCCGTTTCTATCTATACTTAGGAAGCAATATACAAAATTTCAAGGCCTAATTCCAATGGAGAAGAAAATAGCAATCCAATGAAGTTGTTTACATATGCAAACTCGAATAGATTTCGGATGCTATGGTACATGTGATGAAAGGTATACCAAAAATCCTTTTTTTACTTCATTTATTCAAGACCCAACCAAAATCAATGCAACTTTGTAGATTGTTATTTAAGAATATTCTTAACCCCCTAAAATTTTCTTAAATTTTTAGAAAAATGTAGCGTGGTTGAAATAGTTATAGTATCTCACTGCACTATCAAGTTTCCTAGCACTTTGCTAAGAATACAGATTGTCCCATGAATATTTTACTGTCCTAGGTTTTTTCCACCCCCTCTCCTATAGGGAGAGGGGGCAAAGAAGCTTGGCAAACCAAAAGCGAACCGCAACCCCCGAGTACACATCATGAGAATAAAAGAAGTCTGTGCACTTCCCCATACGTACAGGGTATTTTTTGGTACTACTTCAATAGTGACTCCACTCTTGACCTTATAGGTACCCTTGGCTTGCTCGCGCAATGCACTCCAATCCATCCCATGTTAGCATATCCAAACGTCAATCCCCCTCCTTTAACAACCAACCAATAACACAAATCGCCGTCTTCGACTCCCACAATTTGCCAATATTGTATGCATAGTCCCCTATTCACTCCAGCAATCAACAAAGCGCTGGAGCGAATCCTTACTTGCTCACCGCGGACCAGGCGGCCAAGGGTATTGGTTTTCACACACCTCGGTCGATAAAGTCACTTTCTGCTGCTCACCTTAGCGCGCCAAACGCGGGTTTCTGTTTCGTTCTTCTTCTTCAACCTTGAGACCCTTCGTAAACCTCTCACCAGCCCTTCCCGTCAGCCATTCGCGTCATCCGTACCCTCCTCCACTGCCACTTATGTGCCGATAGTCCGACACGAGAACTACACCCTACCAAATCTGTGTTTGAAATCTCCACTTTAGGTTGCCGTGGGGCAAAATATTGGGACCCCATACTAGCAGTCCAAGATGTCCCTGAGAGAGAGAGTGAGAGATGGTGTCCGTCAGGGAGGGAGCTTGAGGGGATGCTTCAACTGTGGGAACCCCCTCATCTCTTCGCATCTTTGTGGATGGATGAATAAATACGGCGAGTCTACTCGTTTCACCGACGTCTGGTGATAGCGTCAGCACATACTCAGGGCATCGGGGCTTACAACATAAGCTGTTGAGGTGGTTTGTTTCTATATGATAATGCTGTTAAGAAGGGAAGGCTGCTACTTTCGGGACATGATGCTGAAGTAAATCTATCCAATGAGAGTCTGCAGTCTTGACACACACTCGCTTCCGGCGGTTGCGATTGGGTATGTGGACTCTAATGTGGCTAGGCCTTCAGTTGTCGTATCTGATGAGACTTTTTCTATGTTTTCTCTGGTGGCCGGAATCTGATATTCATTATCACCAAAAGGTCGTAAGGTTGGTCTGAGATATGAGTCTTGGGGTCAAGTCGTTATCGCTAGAACTCGCGAGGTGAAAGATATAGAATTGTGATTGATGGGATGGGAAAGCCTATCAGCTCCTGTTGGATGCTCGGCCAGTAGGTAGAGGTTGAGAACACATCACGTTCTGCGCCTATTATATTCTTTCACCCTCTTGGTAGCTGGTAGCTCAATATTCTCTTGACTGTTAACACCGTTCTTGGAGTCAGAGTGAAGATGTTTCAGACGACGAAAAGGAGGGCGTAGCATTCAGCTTTCGACCGCATCAGTAGCTCCTTCTCCAATCATGACTCAACTACAACTTGAATACACGTACGCTTCTCACATGGGCAGATGGGCTAAAGCGATCACTAAAGTGGCAATTTTGACAGAGTCTAGACTTCTTTCCAGATTCTAGAGAAATGGTTCTCCTGACGATCGATCCTGCAAGAGACCACCTCTGGTGTATACTTGGGGCCAAGATCATGCCGCCGAATCTTGAAGTTCAACAGACCTACCAATTAGAGAACTGGCATTGCCCATAAAGGGCAAGAAGAAAAAAAACTCTTCGGTAAACAAACATGTCAACCGAATCACCGTTTTGCAGCCACTCCAATGTCCATTTTGTGGTGTAAACGCATGAATGCCTAACCTCCGCAAAACACTCGGTCGATATTACATGCCTACCTCTCCCATGATGTGTATGAGGACTGGCCCATTCCCACCTGTGAAAGGTCCATTCAGTCAAGGGTACATCGCCAAGTACTTTTCCCAATGCCTGATTGTTCTGCATCAGACAAGTGCATAACTACATACTGCATGCGATTCTCGGACATGCTGTGGTATATTTACACCACAAAAATCCCACTCTAAGCAGTCAGAACGCCAGTAGGAGGTTATATCTCAATATCACGGCTCCTCTTCAGCTTTCTATTCTGGCCTGACTTCGGTCCAGGAAGTGCATATCCACCCTTTAGTGCATACATTATCCATGACAGTATCACATGCAAAATCAGGGGGATAATACTGTAACCTCCAAGTCTATGTAGAAAGACAACAAAGAGGACATCTACGTACATTTATCACTGCTCTCTCGGGATCTCCCGAACGTGTTTACAGGCATGAATGCAGTTCAAGAACAACAATGGGACCCTGAAGGTACCCAAACTACGGTTACCAACCGTGACCCGCTTGGGTTTCTCTCTGGGAGCAGAACGGCAACGGAGATCTGAAACGAGGTGCCTATTTTTTTCTTTGTTCATGTAAGCAAGCAGGGAGGAACGACTTGCATGTTCTGAAAACAAGGCTCATGTCTATGTCTCCTTACCTCCACGAGGGGAAACGGTAGCGTTAGAGGTTCAGACGACTTGGTTCTTACCGTTTGGGGATCTGATGATGTCGATTCAAAAGGGACCTGGAGGCAACAGGATCGGAAGAGACCTTTTAGGAAGGTATTTCAACATTCAATCGACAGGTACCAGCAAGAAAGGATTATCAACCGTTAGACCCTCTGCCCATTTTGGACTACGCAAGACATCCCCTTCGGCTTCACCCGAGAGCAACGAGAGCAAAAGCTCCCAAAGGGTCCAGTCATGTGCTCGTCGGTACGTCATTGACAGCTCAAACCCTCTGTCGGCTCCCACGGAAATCCCAGTGTTACTCCGCGGTTGTGAAACACACTCCAGTGCGATATAGGGGTTTCGTCGACACCCGTGGCCATCTGAGACTAACGAGAGCAGCCTGAATACAAAAAAAAAAAGCCCCAGGAATATAAAATTATGTGAGTGCCATCTCCAGTCGGGGGCTTAATGGTACCTACGCAGGTGGCTTGGTGTCCTAAGCAGCATGGAACAGCCGTGAGCGGGCACCTATCTCTCAACAATACTACCTAGCTCATGGCCCTCATGTCTCCTCCATTCCAGAACTTTTTCTTAGTAATCTCTCTGCCACGATTCAGCCAGCTAGCTTACCTGGCTACCTACCTATTGACGTCCATCTCGCCCTCGCAAGATCATCCTCCCCGTTTGAGTGACGTTCACGCGTGCACACAAGACATGAACATAACCTCTCAATATTTCCCTCATACCTCCCTCCATCTGAGCATTACATTCCGCTTCCCAATAGCGAACACAGCAAGATCACATAGAGCTAGGGACAGCCAAGATAGATAAAGGAAGCTCCAATCCTCCAACTCATCTAAAATCAAGTCATACGTATAATTAGCCAGATGCATGACGACTTATTGTCTAAACGTACGAGAGACACCAACCAGTCTTCCAAAACAAAGCCGACTGACGTGTGGCGCCGACAGTGGAAGTTAGCCAAATAGAAAAAAAAAAAAAAAAAAAAGACAGCATGGAATCGCTGAGGAGGTTGGGATGGTTTTAAATCAAACATCAAATCACACCTATGTACGCTGTCCCATCTAGTGTAGAGTGGCTGCAGTTTGTGAGGATCTATTTTTTGATGCAGAGTTTGCATAGGGGTACCGTTAGCAGTCGACGTAAATCAGGTTGGATGAGACATGGGCTCAGATCAGATCCTCCGGGGTTTGTTTTGGTGGTCTTTGTGCAAAGCAGGTACCCGGCTGGCTTCCAAAAAGTGATTCAACTATCCAATTCCAGGTTTGAAAACAGCTGGCGATGATGAGGTCTTTGTCATAGTCGACAGAACCAGTTTCTCCCTCGGACTTGGATGAGGAATATGGCTTCCAAGACTGCTGGAAGTAAGACGGAGAGCCTTCGATGCGATTATGCGAAATGGTAAACCAGTGACTGACTGACCGACTCCTTCAAAGGTAAAATACCTGACCATGGGCAATTTTCTTGTTGAGCGGGGTGAAGCGTTTGGTACTCGAAATCCTTTCGGGGTGTAGGCGCCGTTCGTGAACTAGTGTATGCCTCGAGTATGTCAACCGCCAGCCCGATTCCACCGTCCATGACCTGCCCCGACTACATAGTACCCGTGTACCTACTTCCAACCTGAAGTCGAATCCAAAGAAGACAAAAAGGAAGCGGAACAAGGTAAAAAGAAGTGTACGAGTTTCGCGGTATTGGAAGCAGCAAAAGAAAAACAAACTCGATCCACCCAGGGGTCGAACCTGGAACCTCCTGATTCGTAGTCAGACGCTCTGCCATTGAGCCAGCGGACCTTGTTGAAATGAAGTGGACATCGACGACCCTATGGTCCCTAGCTGCGAACTGGATCTAGAGTGTGGGCAAGTGGTTACCCTCTCGCCGGCACCCGATATGATAGTACAAAGTCCGTGAGTAACGACACCCGTTGTTGTGTACCTGATGCTCAGATTCCATCGTTGAGAACAAAACGCATCTACCAAACAAAGGCGACAGCCAGCGCCTGATATATCAGCACGTTGTTGTACTCCCCAACCCACGGGGACATGATGAATGACATGACCGAAACGCCCTAACGCCACCGTAACCCAGTGGAAGCCAAAACTCGAGTGCACCCCTGTGTGCACCGTGCACACCATACCTGGCTGGCCATCTTCCTCCTTCTAACTCCTCAGAGCTTCCAATCGGTTCCGCATCTGGTCCATCATAGCCTCGGTATCCTCTTCCTCGGGCTCCTCGTCGGCGTGCTGGGGTTGCTGTGGTAGTTTCTGGCCGGGTTCTGGCACACTAGGCAAGCCGCCCGTCTTCTCCATGCGATCCTTCAGTATCTCGCCCAGCACCTTGTCGACCTCGCCCTCGGCTTCCTCCTCTTCATCTTCCAGGTCCACGTCAACGGGCAACTGCTCGCCCACCATCTCCTCGATAATACCGGCCTTCATCAGCTCAACGCTGAGCTCCTGCATGGTGCCAGCCAGCTCCGGTAGGCGCACGAGCGTGTTGACGTCCTTCATGATCTTGACGCTGGCACGGATGCTGCCCTCGATCTTGCGCAGGGCGAAGGCCTCGTTAACCTGCATTTGCACGCTGTTGAGCTGGGCCTTGCTCGTGATCAGGCGAGCGGTCGTCTTGCGGGCGCGGATCAGCTCGCGGGCGAAGTCGCGCACTTCCTTTTCGGCCTGTTTACGTTGGGCGGGGTTGCGCTGTGCTCGTCGGTCGGCGGCCACAATGAGGTTTTTGGTCTTGGTCTCGACTTGCTTGACCTGGGCGATGTCACGGTCGATCTTGCGCATGTTGGAGCGGAGTAGGGTGTTGCATTTGCGCATCTGGATAGGCAAACACGGGGTATCAGTGACTGACGTCCTTGACTCAAGACACCTTCCATTCCGTCAAGGTGGTGCTAACCTGTGCCTGGGGATCGGGCGGCGCGAAGAAGGACCTGAGTGTTTGCATCTTGGCGGCTGTCGTAGTAGAAGCCGAACTGACTGTTTCTCGTGCTTCTCTGATGACGTGATTGGTGTAGGTACAACTAATTGAACGATCCCCTCGTCAAAGAGTCGATAACATGAATGATAGTTTCTAGGTTGCTGATGGTGGCACACGGCGAAGGTGCCGTATGGTGATGAGGACTTGGTTCGGTAACTGAGGTGAAGTTGGTGTAGAGGGGGGTTGTGCCTGGAAACCACCTCCATGTCACCACTGTACTGTAATGTAGGTACCTAGGTTACGTCCTGACGTCGTGGACGGGCAACCCAACGGCCGGGGGTCTGGGCTGATAGTGTTAGCGCCTAGTGTAGACTGGAGGTATGTACCTTAGGTACCTAGAGGTACCTCTAGCGGGCATGTGAGGTGGAGGCCGCGTGAGCCTCACAGCCCAGCCCCAGACGGGACCTGAGGCAGGCGGCCCGGACAGGGAGTCTGCAGGTGGCTGCTCCTTCTTGCTTCCATTGCCTGCCCCTGTTCTTTCTGTGCTGGACTGGACCTGTGGCTTGAGCTGACCCTGGAGGGAACCACCCAACAGGCCCGCTATCCGCCCCGCGATGATGCTGCGGATTGGGACTGACAAGGAGTGTCCGAGTTTGTGGGAATAACCTTAGAGGTAGGTATACACTGCAGGAAAATGGAGGTTTACAGTACCTTTGTGACATTATCCAGATATGAAATCACCATGTCCTGCCATAAAAAGCCACATCTTGTACGACTGGTGGATAACACAGGCTCAACAGGGTAGTCGTCAATGTTGCTGTGATGCTTTGACCTCAACCCCACCATTTTAACCACAACCACATGCCCTGGCTCATCGATCTGGCTGTAAGCCAAGGTCTTAGAAGGCAGTTGCATACTACCAGATACACAAGGCTCGGGATAATACACAGGTCGGTGTAGACATGCTCGTTCGATTGCTCGTCTGCTGGCGTTTTCAGTTGGCGCGAGACGGAAGGAATCTTTTTCATTGTTTGCCTTGTGGGATATGTACAAGTTTCTAGAAGGCTCCCATGGTTTCGTCTACTGTTCGTCAGTTCTCCACTTGGAGGCCACAGCTGGAGCGGGCAGTTGGAGCAGTTGGAGCAGTTGGAGCAACACAAGCTGGATGGAGCGTGGAAGCTCAGCCCTGCGTCAAGGCCCCGCGCGCCCGGGAATCTTCAGGCTTCTTACGAATTCTACCGTCACCCGGAGGGGACCCGGAGACTAAGTTGGAGACCCAAGGGACGACAAGGCAGGGCGTGATTGCTAAATTGCTTGCAGCCTCACAGCCAACTTACCCACCTCTTCCCGCATCCTCTCCTTCCAGCTTTCTTGTCCGTGACTACAAGACACAACGACCTTTTCTTTGACGACGACTCTAGTTGTGACGTACTCGTTGTTAATACTACCACTGCCAATAACGATAACAACCACAACAACAACCAACAACAACTGCGCTTCTACCACTGTATGCGCTTTACATCCAGGAGCTAGCTAGCTACCCTTCTCCAGCAACATCTTCGCACAAACACACACTTACACAACCATCATCACAAATGGCTTCCACTGTGACACCCGAGGGTGAGTCTGATTTTGATCACCCTCTCAAGATCGCATCGCATGCCTCTACCATGAGCTGCGGTTCCTGTCGCACTGTATATACGCAAGTTGCTGACAAGGGATTCCAATCCTACAGTTCGCTGGGCCCAGCGCTCTTCTGCTACCGACCCCGAGAGCAACTTCATCTACCTCACCATTAGCGTTCCCGACGTCCCTACTTCCAACCTCAAGCTCGACCTTAAGCCCACTGGTCTCGTCTTCACCGGCCACTCCGACACCCTCAAGAAGACCTACCATGTCGAGCTCGAGTTCTACGCCGAGATTGACCCTGCTGCGAGCCAGGTCAACCACACGGCCCGTGATGTCGAGATGAAGCTCCGCAAGAAGGAGCTTGATGCTCATTACTGGCCCCGTCTCCTCAAGGAGCCCAAGAAGGTTCACTTCCTCAAGACCGACTTCGACAAGTGGGTTGATGAGGACGAGCAGCACGAGGCCGCTGAGGATGACTTCAGCAACTTTGGCGGTATGGGTGAGTACTAGTTCTTTAACCCTTGTTCCCCCACCCGCTTGTGACCTGATTCTGCTGCGCCACCCGTCGCATATCTCTCGAGCCAAAGCCCCTGTCCCATCCTTATTCAAACCGAAACTAAATATATCGTGTACCTACAGGAGGAATGCCTGGTATGGGTGGTATGGGTGATATGGGTGGCATGGGTGGTATGGGTACGTACACTTCCAGCTGAACGGGGAGGGGCATATGGCACCGACCATACCCGAGACAACGCGGACACCTCCAAGAGCCATCTAGCGGCTGTGCGCTCTCCTAGTGATACTGGTCAATATGCTAACTCGAATTCACACAGGTGGTGACTTCGGCGGTATCGACTTCTCCAAGCTGGGCGGTGCTGGTTTGCCCGGCGGCGACGATGAGGAAGACTCCGACGATGACATGCCTCCTCTCGAGGGCGAGGGCGAGGCTGATAAGGCCGAGGAGGCAAAGGATGCCAAGGAGACTGTCGACACGTCAAAGGAGGCTGCGTAAATACTCATAAAGTAATAGGCATACCCAAGATCCATGGTAATGGGCTTTAATGTTTAGAACTGGGCATTGGGAATAACGACAGGATTTACTTACACATACCCTCCCATTCCCCAATGCTTCGGGGGTGGAATATTGACGATGGATGATTAGCTGGAACGGTTTTTATGGAGTCCTTTGATTTCGGTATCTAGCAGGATCTTGCAGCGAATGGAATCATGCTCATTTTTGTCTAGGGAACCCTCGATCCCGAATTTGCACCATGTATGTGACAGTTGTGGGCTTGTATCTTCCCCAAGAACAAAGGCTTGCGTCTACCCCTTGTCGCCGAATGTCTGCTTATTATCGGCGGTTTCAGCTCGGTGTGTCCCTTCTCGTATCATCCTTTCCGTTTTTGCGGCGCTTCTGCGAAGCAGGTCTTGGGAAACCGGTGGAAGTTCAAAAGGTACAAACTACTTGGTTGGCTCTCTTTTCGAGTCGAATGTCCGCCCTTCGCCATCGGTTCATTCTCGCTCCTCATTGCTTCACCACTACCGGAAACGGGATGCAGTGCTTTCGAGTGAGGCTGCGGATCCATCGCATCGGTACCCTATTGTCGTTCGTCTTTCAGAAGCAGCACGACGGGAATATCGCAAACCGTTATTGCGATGTCTTGCTCCCAACAAGATCAGTGGCTTATTTTCCGGTCGAGGGCATGACCTCCAGTCAGATTCGGGTTCTTCGGATCAGTCCTACGGCGAGTGTCTCTCAAATGGGAGGTTTCATCTGCCTCCTCCCATCGCTGATGTTGCTTCTTTTCCGGCGATGAGGCACGCCGACATTGCTACCATGTCGCCCCGGTGTCGTGCCGCTCGATGTTCAGTGTTGATACCCCGGCGATCGACACAGCTGCTGTTCCCTCACCCTGGAAGTCGTTCAAACACTTTACCGCCAGGATCCTCAACCGTTACACTGATCTAGCCCCTTTTGAAGTAAGTATCTGAACTTATCCATCTTTCGTCACCCTACCTCCACACTACTCAACGCTCCTAGATGTAGCATCTGTGATGCCAAGCTGTGATGACCATCTAGTATGCGTTGGAATCGGGATAGGAATGATCAGAAAAAGGAAGGTCGCCAGGAACACTAAACAACATGATTCAGACCCACAGAAAGCCAACTGATCCAGATGCTCCGGTGAACCCTCGAGCCACCACTGTTGGGTGGAAGCGGTGGGCGATAGTGTTTACTCTCGTGTCGTTACTGTGCTTGCTGCTGGTTTCTCATCTCGCTTCTCACCAAAATAGCGCCTGTTCCTCTTGCATTCCAGCTTGTCTCGGACAAACCTGGGGCACTTGAACTCGAGATCTAGCAGCTTTGCGGTACTTACAAAATATATTTGTTTACAGGCCTCCTCGTATAAGTGAATTCGCAGACCACATATAAAACTACTCGTTTCCTTTGGCCAATCCATTCCCATTTTGCTTTTTTGAGATACACCCAATACCCGCCGTAGCTGGAACAGCTGCACTTTGAATATACAGACTGCGCTTGGACCTAGAGGAGAACAAGTTGCAACAACTTCTTCTTACTCATCCGAACCTAAAGACAATATACGGAAAGAAGTGGTGGACAACTGCAGGGGTGAATTGTATCATCACTGAGAACGGACACAAGGTTAGTCGAACATCATCAATAAGTTATCAACTTTCTTAGTTTCACTTTTTCAACAATCACCGTGAAGCGTTGTGAGGGGCTCGAAGAGCTTAGTGTGGCTGTTTAGAGGAGATTCTTCTCATTGGACACTCAAAGGCACGCACGAGAGTGACCATATTTTCCACTTGCCTTTGTTGAGATCCTATCTGCCAATATTGGTGTCATGTGTCTCACTTACTCCTGACAGCCTCGTCTACGACTTTCTATAATATTCATGTCCTCTGTTTCTGTCGTTCCCCTGTTCTTCCCGGTTTTATCATCATTGTCACAATAGTCATAATTCACACACTATCCAACCAACGCCAAGTTACTTACACCATTTCACAGATTGAAGCCACACCCATCAAGTTACAACCTTCAACTCCAAGTGTCAACAACAAGTCACTCGATCTTCGCTCCTGTCATCTTCAAGACAAAACAAACAAGAATCCAAACCCAACAACCAAAACCAGGCACGAACAAACCCTAAGACCAGAGCAACCACATCCGCCCAGCTCCAAACATGGCCTCTACCACCACCTCCTCCCGACGAAGCTCATCCTCCTCCAACTTCAGCACCACCACCAGCAGCAGAAGCGGTTCACATTTCTCTCACTGTTCACACCCACACCATTCTTCGACGTCATCGCCTTACTCGAGCACCGCCTCCAGCTTCGCAGGTATAGGCCCTACCATCACCATCAATACCACCTCCAGCGCGGCCAGCAGCCGCTCTTCCTCCTCCCCATCGTCACCTTCATCAGCATCGGTTTCCTATACAGCTGGAGAGGCCGCGAGGGATGCACAGATGGGAGCATCTATCTTGGCTTGGCCGGCTGATGAGGAGTGGATTGCTCCAAAAATCTGAGAGCGTATGAGGGAGGTAGAATTGGTTGGCCGGAGGGGTATATCGTACATGTCGGAGAAAGGGCGTTTTGGTCATTTTTAGGACGACGGTGCTCATACAAAGTAAAACGGACATAGGAACGGAAGTGGGGAGGGAATAACACAGTTACAGGGGAAATGTGATATAAAGGAGCTTACTTGGGAATGGCAAATATTGATTATGTGCTTGACAGTGCCTGCTAGACAGGTTACCAGTCGCCATTATCACGGCTTTCGACAGAGGATGCTTTGGGATCAGCTCAACACATGGCCATATGTACCTAGTTGCACGTAATGGAGCTTGTCAAGCCAACAACACCAAGTGGTTATTTCATTCCATGTAGCGAGAGCCTCGCAAACTTTCCCAGAGCGGATAGACATAAACTGGTTCTGATGGCTCTCGTAACAGGTAGGTCGTGTAAATAGCGGGGGTAATACGGTAAGGGAAGGGTCGGACATACTTATTATATTCAGTCGTCGCTTTTTCCATCTCTACAGCGTATTATTACCCCCATAACAATCGATGGCCAAGTATGAACGAATGACAAACCCTCAGAGAACTTCCTCAACCTACATCATGGACCTCTAACACATACACCATCCATCCCTACGTAGGAACCCTCGAGTGACGAGTGACCTGTATGTACCAGCCCGTCTGGACCCTCTTGGTCAACACCACTCTGCAATCTCAGAATAAAGATGACGGGCATTAGAAGTAATTCAAGACCACCACGCCAAGGCAGTATTGTACTTGACACCTTAACCCTATTCACGAACGGACTCGCGCAAGTCACCCACCCTTGGCGAATCCACCAAGAATGAACCGGCTATTTTACTGAGAGAGACAATAGCATCAACTGAATACTCGAAACTCTTGCTGCAAAACATTACAGGTATTACTACAAACATTTGTATCCATCCTTGAGCTCTTGTCAAAACTTCGCCCTTCATTTAGGGAGTATTTGAGCAACAACTCTAGGAAACCAAGTTACAGCCCATGCGCATTTACTTCCACCGCCTCTTACGTCTCTGAGAACACCACCACCACCACCACTACCCTCCGGCACACCAACCAATTACAAACTAAGATGTGTACCAAACACTTTGTCGACTCCTACTGCACCTCCTGCGACGAGCTCGTGCAAGGCCGATCGACAGAAAGCCCTTGCAAACCAAAATACAGAGGAGAGCACTTGGGACACTGCGCGGCAGGCATCGAAAGCAATACTGTTACCGAAGCCGTGGTGTGCAAGAACTGCGAGAGGAAGCAGAGGAAGATGGAGAAGAAGAAGAAGGACAAGGGAAAGGAGAAGGACAAATAGCAGCAATGTGGTTGTAGTTCTACTTCCGTGTGTGAATGAGGAGGAACTGCCGCTTACTGAATCGCGAAGGAATCGCAGGAAAGGGTGTCCTCTTATCAGCACGTGGAGCATGATTTACGTTCGTGGCAGAATTTGGGGCATTATGACATCAACTTCAATCCGCCTTTTTCTGCCCGGAAGCGCTCGAGGTTCCTCGATCAATGCTGATCTAGCTGCTTGAGCGTCCTCTTCTTATCTGGGGGTGCACAATTTACCCTCCGCAGATAGCTTTCTGTAAAATACAGAAAGGCAACGCCCTTCGCACGCTTAATTTAGTCGTGACTTGCGATGTGAAAAGGGCCACTGTGGATATTGCTCCCGCTTCGCTAACATGTATGCCCGTTACGCTCCAACAATTCAGTAGCAGAGGCGAGCTATTTGTGTGAAATTATATTCATCGCCTTGGGGTACTGGGAGGGGCGGGAAACGCTCAATAGGCGACCAAAGGATGAGTAACAAAGTGCTGATAACAACACCAAATTGTGACCCCTGGCCCTTTGGCAGACGCGTCCTGCCGCAGTCCATCTTCCATCAAAGGGACCGTAAACGACAGGAGCGAGATGGTAGGTCGCGGCGAACCGGTCGCAGATCATACAGTATTCGCTAATAGAATAGTAGTGGAGAGGCGATAACTGAAGGTCGTCGTGAGTCTGGAAAAAATTTCATCAAGCTGTTGACCTAAGCTGTAGACCCTGCCCGAACCCGAAATAAAATAGTAAAACAATCATAGACAATCCGAAATCCGTCAAACAAAATTGTCGCTGAAGCTGGCATTCGCTGTCATCGACTGTTGCTGTTCCTCATGCATACCCTTCGTTCAAAGAATCTCATCCTCCATGGGAGCATCACCACCGTTGGCAGCGGCCGGCGCGGCTCCGGTGGCGTTGTCAGTGGTGCCACTCTCGAAGTAGTCAGCCATCTCAGAATCCAATTCCTCGACAGTCTTCTTGGCAGGGCGGGCGCTACGAGGGCGACGGGGACCCTTCTTGCTGCCAGGCTTAGCAGCAGCAGCACCCTTGGGGGCGTTGGCGGCATGCTTGACAGTGGCGGCAGACTTGGGCTGGGCCTTGGGCTGTGTGATGCGCTGAGTCAGGCTCTTGGGCTGAGGGATCAACTCAGCATTGGAAACAACGACCTCGACCTGGGGGAACGTTAGAAAAGCCAGAACCAGAAGATTTATATGATGGAGAATGAGCGTACCTTGACCGGGCGGTTGTCGATCAGGAGACCGTTGAGAGTGTTGTACGCCTTGGTAGCACCATCGGCGTGGTGGAAGGTGATATGAGCAATACCGCGGCTAGTGCCTCCGGGCCCATACGAAAGTTCCACCCTCTTGACCTGTCCAATAGCTTGCTGGAAGTATTCCTATCACAGGGTAATTCGTGGTTAGCGTCGTGCGCCAGTTTCAGTGTGGTCGTGTTCGTAACGGTTCGGTTTCAAATCGGTCAAAGCCAGGGCATTGTCTCGAGCCGGCCCAACACTAGGATATAGCCAGAGCAGCGCGCGTATTCTCCGGGTCAACAACACCAGCAACTGGCAGGTGAGCCTAAAATCCAACACTCACTAGAGCCATCCATACGATCCGATGCGTCCGGGCTCACAGCCCGTAGAGCAGTAGGACGTGTGAAGGAATCCAGTTATGCCAGACAATCCAAGCATGGTCCAGTTGATGTGATGCCGTCCTCTCGTAGAATTCCCCAACAACCACGATGCTAGACCCCGGTTCCCCGGAGTTGTAAATCCCCTGATGGACCAGAACCCCCCCGAAATCGTCCAACCAGGACATGGGAAACAGAGCCTCGAACATTGCTCACTGCGTGGCGCGCTGGGGTGCAAAAATCGACTTCGAGGTGACCAGCCAGGAAGAGATAATGCATAACCCCCCAGCTAGGCTCCCATACAAGATTTGTCTGCCGGATCCTGCACTGCTTGTCCCTTTCCGAACCAGAGGCGCTTGCCAGCCACCACAATGATAAGGAGGGGAGAGCGTGACTGCGATCTGCTCAACTCGCAACATGACGAAATGTATTGACACACGTCAGGGAGGAGCAATCAACGGCAGTCTTGATGGCCTAGTGCCGATTTGCAATAAACGACCGTCCCGACCGCCCAGTGGAGAAAACGACGCCGATTGGATACGCCACGGAAGAGGGATGTCGATAAAAGTCTGAAGGCTAAATGGCCTCATCGGTAATAACATACCTTGATCTGGCCTTCGGAAACGTCCTTGGGCTGCGATGGGAGTTAGCGGTGAAGGATGCTACGCAGGAGAAAGGTGGAGGACGCGACTCACCAGGTTGCTGACGACAATCTTGCTCTCGCCGGTAAGACCAGCACTCTTCGCGGGCGCCGGCTTGGCAGCGTTGCGAGCGGGCTTTGTGTTCTTTTGGATACCGCCAGCGGGAGCAGCATTGGTGGGCTTACCGCCAGCCGAGCGGCGGCCTCCACGGCCGCGGGCGTTGGACTTACCGCGGCGCTGAGTGGAGAGAATCTCGTCGAGAGACTGGTCGAGCTTTCCGGACATTATGTCGGTGGGTTGCTGGAAAGTGATTTAGAAGTGGTGAGAAAGACGAGACGCGTGGTCAAGGTGGCTTCAGAGATTAGGAAGCGCGGACGGGCTCAAATGCGCAGTAGAGCTGGCGAAGGTCGCGTTGGGCAGAAGAATGATAGGGAGGTCAGGTTACGACTCGCTGGTAGCGCAAGGTCGCGTGAAGTCGAAGCGGAGCAAGAGTCGCGCTGCAACGGAAAAGGTGCAGCGACACTGTGATCTGATCGACTCGAATGGCAAGTGGAAATGGACGTGGTCAGGCTGACGAAGTTGGATGCAGTCCTGCGAGCAATGAAAAGAATATGGGTCTTGAGCGGATGGGCTTTATCGGTGATGGACTTTGGCTTTGGCGGTGATGGTAGGTTGTGTTGGGAAATAGGTGGTGTTGTTTGGGTGATAAAGTGGTGAATGGGCGAGAGAGGTGAACGAGGGGGGGGGGGGGCGGAGGAGGGAGTAGAAACCGGTGTCCGCCCAGAATTTGAGGGAGAACCGACGGGGACCGGAGCCACCTCGCTGCGCTTTCGTCAAGGCTTGGCAGGCTGAGCAGGCTCCCGCCCATACTTGCGGCCACACGCGCCTGTCCTGAACAACATCCAACGTGACGGGATCCTTGCCGCACTGGCCACCCCACCGCTTTGGCTTCGCTCAGAAGGGGAAAGAACAGGCATGGCCAATCACAGCCTTGTGGCAATCGCTTTGGCTGATGGCACTCATTGGTACGCTAATCTCTTTGGGGCTAGACCCATCCCTCCTGACGCAGCTGGGCTGTTTTGTTATCGTACCGGTACCTGCGATGGCGGGATACCCAACTCTCCGAGACGTGTCACCACTTCCAGGGACCCTTTGGAGCTGTGTGTCCTTGTTTCCATGTGTTCTTATCCCACACACTCCAAGCTTGCTTCTTCAGGGACGTTTGCAATTGACCTCTTTCACAAGCGGAAACAAAGAACGACCCTTTCGCATATAACAAAAGAACAAACTATATTATCAGTCAGTCATGCTATTCGGAGCGTTTGGCAGTTCTCTGCTGACTGGTGACATGATATACCATGATCCGAACAAAAACTGAAATCCAGTGCGAGAGTCTGCTCCTATGCATTGGGTCAACCATGGGGTATCAACCGACTCTGACCCATTCAATCCTCCTAGGCCCGAAACCTCGTCGCTTTCCTCGCTGCTTTGTCCCTGTATTCCTTTTGTGGTTCCGGGGTTTCCTTCCCTTGCATATCGGTTGCGCCTGGGACCTGCTCTGTCCTGCACTGAAGGAAGAGCATTCTGTAGGCTGTCTGTCTCCCGTCCTTTTCGGCCTCGCCCCAACCAAATGTCCCAAGGGCGGGACAAGCTGTATCCTGCCGTTTGTGAAATATAGTCTCCGTCTTCGTACCGTACAATTTTGCGGACGCTGTGTCCTATTTTGCCTTGGTCGGGGCCGGTGCCACCTTTGTTGCCTTCTTCTCCTGGACAACATCGGTTTCGAGATCTTCGGCATTGGTTTCGAGGAAGTGGTGGAGAACAATAAGAACCATGGCCGCGCACCCGAGAACGATGGCGAGACGGTAAAGTTCAGCGTCAGAAATCATTGTGTCGTTGGCGTAGGAAAAGTCTGTGTCGGGTATTCGTTCGGTGCCGTAACTGGTAGCTGTAGACTTGTTGCGACTCGCAATGCTTGGAGGGGAGTTCAAGTGGGTCCAAAGGGCGCTGTTCTGCTGCTCAAGGAACTGTCAATCGGACGGCTGGGCAGAGAAAAGAAAATGCCGTGCTCACTTTTTCTTGGTGATGCCAATCGCACTAGCTGTTCTGCACCGGGAGGACCGCAAATTCGAAAGTGATGATGCCGATTGTCGGGTGTTATGGACAGCTTTCCACCTTGAGGGCCGCGACGCAGCATCGATGTATCGGTACATCTCTATCCGTTCATTTACAAGAGGACCCGACAGTCACGTGGACGGACCCAAGCTGAAGGAAGGACCTCTTCTTTCGTTATACCGGCTGCGCTGCCCGGGCCAACGTCAGGGCTTCTGTGGGCGGACACCCCAGCGCTTTAAATCCCGGGCGGCGTCAGTGGGCCCATTTGGTTCGAGTTGTTTCAACCCACCCACTTCGAATTGCCTCCAAGAAACTCTCCAGAGAGTTGATCGAGATCCCCGCCTTCGTCTGCAAATCTTTTGAAGGTCGCTGCGACAACACGCTCTATTTACGACCTACGCGCTGCCACCACCCCAGCTGCGACAGCAACTCGATATAACATACATACGTGATCCATTAACTTGCGCATCACGACACACACACACAAACTCTACTCTCTGGTCCCCGATCGCGACATTTGCCCACCATGCCTCCCAAGAAGCAGGATCCGAAGGCCGCCGCCGGCAAGAAGAAGGCTGTCGAAGACAAGACCTTCGGCATGAAAAACAAGAAGGGCTCTGCCGCCCAGAAACAGATTGCCGCCCTGCAGGCCTCAATGAAGAACGGCGGAAACGCTGAGCAGAAGCGCAAGGAAGCCGAGAAGGCCGCCCGTGAGCGCGAGAAGAAGGCGGCTGAGGATGCCAAGAGGGAGGCCGATCTGCTTCTCAACAAGCCCGCCCAGATCCAAAAGGTTCCCTTTGGTGTCGACCCCAAGACCGTTGTCTGCATTTTCTTCAAGAAGGGCAACTGCGAAAAGGGCAAGAAGTGCAAGTTTTCCCACGACCTGGAGCAAGAGCGCAAGGTCGAAAAGAGGAATCTGTACCAGGATACACGAGCAGAGGAGGACGACAAGAAGAAGCAAGAGACCTCGGCGGACTGGGACGAAGAAAAGCTGCGCTCCGTCGTCTTGTCCAAGAAGGGCAACCAGCGCACCACCACAGACAAGGTGTGCAAGTTCTTTATCGAAGCGATCGAGGAGGGCAAGTACGGTTGGTTCTGGATTTGCCCGAATGGAGGAGACAAGTGCATGTATAAGCATGCTCTACCGCCTGGGTAAGTTGGGGTTTTGCACCATCAGCTTCTTCTCATAACTAACACCATCTCTGTAGGTTCGTTCTCAAGACCAAGGAGCAAAGGGCGGCTGAGAAGGCGCTGCTGGACAAGTCGCCTCTCAGGACCCTTACTCTCGAGGAGTTCCTTGAGTCCGAGAGGCACAAGCTCACCGGCACTCTCACCCCCGTAACACCCGAGAGTTTCGCCAAATGGAAGAAGGAGCGTCTCGACAAGAAGGCTGCCGAGGAGGCTGCAAGGAAGGCGAAGGAAGCGACCGGTCGTGCCTTGTTCGAAAGTGGCAACTGGAGAATGGAGGCCGATATCGATTCCGACGACGAGGGGGACGACGACGCCTGGAACTTGGAGAAGCTGCGGAAGGAGACCGAGGCCCTCCAGATCAAGAAAGAGGAGGAACGATTGTCAGCCCTCCACGGTGTTCCTGTCACACTCGGCGAAGCGAAGGACGTTACCGGTCTCAGCGAGCCAACGCTTGGTACATGAGGGCGTATCAGCACACGAGGAGAAAATACCAGCGCCGCCGCTTCAGAAAGTTTGAGCCCATCCGAGAGTTTGGCACTTACTTGCGGCAGGGATCTGGCGCCAAGTTGATGAAGCTGTTCGAGTTGCTCGAGGCAACTTGCTCAGAGGTTATCCGACATCTATATCACGATATATGCACGAAGCTTCGAGGAGTGAAGCCGAGTTGCACCTCCACAAAGGAGCAGTGGGAAGAATGTCGTCAGGTTTCGGTTTGGAAGCTCTGGTCATGAACTAGTCTAGCTCACACACATAATCATAGGCATGCCCGGATCCAGCACTTCGTTCCAAACTTCTTTGCGTGTCTCACGTGTCTAGTCGCCTTCGCTACCAGCATTCATTTTATGAACAGAGACGGACATAGGATACATGGGTTCATCAGGACATGTCAGTTGTTATGTCCTTCGATCCAGCAAGCCGTCCTTCTACCTGCACGTCCGTGGCCCAGCTTGTTCGTCGGTGGCTCGTGGCTAAAGATTTCTTATTCAGAATGGGTTCGGTGTGATGGAACTGCAGCACATGATAAGGCATTCGAGGCATTGGTCAAGCAGGCCGAGTTATTGATCCACGCATGGCTTGCAACTAATTTGTAGAATTACGGTGTGGCTGTCCGCAAAAGCACTCACCACGACGCTTACGCAGTGACGGGGAAGGTAGAGTTAAACCTAGAGCCACCCAAGTGTGGCCACATCGTCTTCAATGTGATGTTTGGGCAGCGAGCAGAAGCTTGTTGTGCATCGTTCGCATGGACTGCCCAGGAAGAATACAAGGCCGATGAACTGATACGTTTGATGTTTCGTTCAACACTGGTAGCTCCCTTTTAGCAAGCAGAACTAATGGGTGAACATTGGATTGCTTCTTGCACAGTCCAGTACTTGTTAGGTCTTCAAAAGCTAGCCAGACGGTCGGGTTTGAAGACCTGGCGAGGAGGTACCATGAATCAGTCGTTGTTGTCCACACTTGTAGTTTCCTAAACTGCTTCAAAATAAACCCTTATACCGGATGGATGGGAGTCTTGTAATATGCATCTTTAGTAAATGCAACCACAAACAGCGCTGCTTCCCCATGAAATTACCTCACTTTACCTAGAGCTTGACTTGCCGCACCGTCCCTAATGTCCTCATGCACCCTTTTCAGCTGGCATAATTACAAGTCGTTTTTACGTATAACTTACTGTATTCTCGATGCTTCAGGCTATTATACTGCGCTTAGTTATAAGGGTATAAAAGTATTTGAATACAGTTAATTGTAAAGTACGAGCGCTTCGCTGTTAGTAGTCTGAATGAGTGCAGTCGATTTGGGGGGTGTAAATGTGGTTGTGTAGCGATGTTTCTGTACAGAAATGTGGCCTTGACTGTGCGGCGCATATTGAAATCGTCAAGTTTTATTGATATACGATTGGATGTTACATGACATTCTAAAAGTGGGTTTTACTATACAAAACGCGGAGTTTTACATGTCAGCTGTCATCGGTTGGCATGTGGGGAAAAAAGGGTGCGCGAAGTCAAAATAGGGTGCATGAGGACATCAGGGACGGTGCGGCAAGTTAAGCTCTTTACCTAATTTGATGAAAGTTAACAAGTCCTCTGTAATTACTACTTTGCACAGACCACTTTCTGAGCCGTGCGATTAGAAGTAATAGTTTCATTGCTAACATCACGTCCAGTCGCGTCAGTCCCTCATCAACCCACGCCCTCTCCTATAACTACAGGAAGCCGGCATTAGTCTGCCAAATCAGCCCTCTACACCAACCAAGGTACTTGATATTTGCTGGATATCCTTTTATTCCCCCAGCTAGGGACTTTCAAGTAGCATACTTCGTCAAAACCATCAAACTCAGCAGTTAAAAAGGTGCGTTGAGATATTCTCACTTGTGGCAGATATTGCGACTAATAGGCCCCAGATTCACTCTGTTGGATGACGACAATTTTCATCCTAATCTGGCATTAAATCTCAATCTGCTTTACCGCGAACTTGATCGAGGGAAAAGTGGAAAGGATGCCCTACGATCCGGACCTTTATCCGGATGACGACCCTATCGACAACTTCAATTATGATCCTAAGGACGATTATGATGAGCTGGGCGATGACTATGACCCGGATCTAGACCCAAACCAACAAAGGGATCACGAAGAGGACGTGGATGAGTTCTACGATGCAGAAGACGTGGAGGATGAACCACCACTACAAGCGCCCGCCAAAGTTCCCCAACATCCGAGGCGAGCTACGCTCTCGCCTTTGCAACCCTCAAGATCTGAGCGACATGCGACGCCAACATCGACATCTGTCCGCGATGGAACACCGAGGTCAGCTCGGGTCGCCGTCATGCTCCCGGTAAGCGTGAAGAAGGAGGCCTATATCAGCATCCCAGATGTTGCATCAGACGAGGAGGAGGAGGAGGAGGAGGAGGAGAAGACGGAAGAAGGAGATACAATGGTTGGCAATTTCGTGACATCAGACCTGATGCCTCCCACTCCAAAGAGGCGAAGAATCACAGAGCGGCCATCGACGAAACCTACTCCCACTGTTGCCGCACCCAACTATGTGCCGCCGAAGGTTCAACCACCACCATTTCCGATACCAGATATTCCAGCACCAGTACCCCTGGTCAATCCAACAAAGAAACGAGGGCGGCCGTTCGGATGGAGACCAGGCTTGTCCTATGCCGCAATGCGAGGAAATCCCGTGCCTCCTCCTAGACCCAAAGTTCCGAAACAACCCAAAGCGCCAAGTGAGGTCAAGCGCAGAGGCCGTCCACCCAAGAAGCCCCATGAGTTGCCTAGAGAAATTTTCTCCAAACTCACGCCCAGGTACATCCGCTTCCTCTGCGAATGGGAGGGATGCCCGGCCGAGCTGCACAACTTTGAGACTCTACGGAAACACGTTTTGGTTGTACACGGCGATTACAGACAACCTCATCAACACCATCTACTTTCAGCAAGAGAACAACCACAAGAGCCCAAGACTTGCAAATGGGCTTCCTGCCACAGCAAGCGTCTCCAATCCGAGCTGCCACCTCTCACCCTACCCACCAAATCCCACTTCGAAGCCCACGTCAACGAAAGCCATCTGATACCTTTCCTCTGGCACGTCGGCGACGGCCCCCGCAACACCAGCATCGAGTCTCCCCTCTCCGAGAAGCCCCTGACCATAACATCGGCCCTCCCATCACAACCGTCATCGTCATCATCCATCTCTCACCTCGATTTTACAACAACCACCACCACCACCACCACCACCGCCACCACTTCCACCGCCATCAAACTCCAACCACTACCACCCTACCTCTTCGACGCCTCCGGCAACCAAGTAACCTCCTCCGTCCGCGACCAGCTTTACGAAAACGACGACGACAAACGCCGCCGCCGCGTGCGCCTGGAGCAAGTGCATTTCCTGAGAGACGAGAACGCAGCCCCGGAGCCAGTTTACACGCAGGCCGAGCGGGACGCAATGGAGGCGAGCTTGGCGGCCAAGAAGAAGAAGCAGGATGAGTTTTGGGAGTACTACGAGAAAGTGATGGGACCCGTGGTAGAGGTGACGGTGCTTGCAGCGGACCAGGAGGACCTGGAGGTCCCGGAGAATCCTTCTGGAAACCTGGGCAAGGAGGTTAAGAGGAAGATGTTGAGTTGTGGGTGGGATCCGCAGTGGAGGGGGTTGTATCAGGATTGATTTTTTTTAAGCGGGAGGGGGAAGGGGAAAGGGGGATGAAGGATGGAAGGAGATGGGTGAATGTACTTCTGGTTGCGTGTGTGTTGTTGGGGTGGAAAGTGGTGGAAAAGGTAGGGGCATATTGTTTGTATACTTATGTACCTTCACACCTTCTTAACATAGCAAGCGATACTCAAGTGAAGGGCTCCAAATGTTCGTATCATGCCATAGCTTGCAGTAAGTTCTTGGTACTGTTTTTTGCCTTGATATGAGTTGATATTCACCTATAGATATATTTCGCTATAAATGACAGCAACGCTGGCTCTTAGATGACACGCTACCAGGGGTAAACTCCCCATGGGAGAGTACCCAGGACTTGCATGAAAAGATGGACTTTGAGCGAAATGGAGCGGATGACGTTCTGGTTCACGGCCGAACACACTATTCAGCCACTAGACTACATCGAGACAATAATATTCACTTGGAGTAGACACTAAGCTGACCGAATTTCTTGCGTTGATGAATTTGCAACGTAAACTGAAGCTCGAAGTACTTCCATGATGTGAATTCCGGAGAACCTTCTAAATTGTCGCAATTTGTATAATAGATAAAATTACTAGGAAAACACTTTAGCGCTGGATATTTGTCTTTGCAATGTAACGCTTTAAAAGAGGTTTTTGGGGCGGGTACTTTGCGACATTCTGAGATGCAGAGTGAAAAGCTTGGAGACTAGAGAGACATGTCGAAGAAGACGAGGAAGAGCTAACTAGGTGAATTGCCCTATACCTCTATGCTTGGGTTCTTGACCTGGCTGGGACCTGGATACCAACCCCCACTCAGCGATGGGAATGTATCACGATACCAGTGCATGCGTACACTACATACACAGTCAGAGTCTACTGGAAGGTGACAAACAGTAGACTGAGGAAACTTGATGAATTTGGTCTTTCCGGGGTAGGCTTGGCTTCCCCAGCTTGACGGGGATCGGTCAACGTGGAACTTGAGGTTGGTTACTTGGCTATCTGGTTGCCTGCGTTAAACACCAATTTGGGTGATGAGTACCTAGTGTAAGACCTCGCTAAAAGCGACCAGATTTCGGACAGTAACTGCCGGGACGGGTTATGCTCCGAGCTGTCGCCAACGGGAAGTGCGCATATACTGTATCTATTAGACATTGTAATAAAAGAGGACTTCCATAGATACTTGTCTCTGATGTCCCAGCCTTTCCATCATCCATCTGCAAGTCCTCGACAGCGCTCGACAGTCTGGATCCATCAAAGACGTTGCCAAGCCCTGCGAGGTGTGGTGGCGGGAAGACAGGGACCAAAGAATTGCGATCCAACAGAAACCAGTGTTTTTAGAAGGTAGTGTAGAGACGGCTGGTACTGAGACATGATGCTCGTACGCTAGGTGTTGCGAGGCTGCTTTACACATCTTCGCTGCTGTGGATTTGAAGCTGGCCATGAGCCTCATGATGGACCAGACGGGTTGGGGGTTTTGCCTTGCTGATAAATGCAGTTTTCAATGGATGACAGATGGCGTGCCATTGATGCCGAAATGACTGGACGAGAACCCTTCAACTTGGAAAGAAGGCGCAGTTCAAATGGTCGGGACTCCGATCGTTCTCATCGCTCCAGTCGG